GTTCTGACCAGTTCTGGAGAACTGGTAGCGGAAATTTTGAGTAGTTCGGAGAACTGGCAAATACCACCTCTGACTGGCCCCACCCCCATCTATTCTGTGCCTCCCGAGTCCCAGCTGATCGTCTGGGGTCTTCTTTTGTTGCCCTGCACAGGAGAACGGAGCTGGAAAGCAGGTTAGTGGGGTGGGGAGGGAATGGGATTATGCAGTAACCTTCCCCCAGGAGTGGGGTGGGAATGGAAATTTTGCAGTATCCTTCCCCTGCCACGCCCACCAAGCCACACCCAACAAGCCACATCATTCCCACCAAGCCACGCCCACAGAGTGGTAGTAAAAAAAAATTGAATCCCACCCCTGGAGGGAACCACCATGGAGAAGTCTCTTCTTCTTATGATTCAGTAACCAGCTATCTTACCTTTATAGAAGATGAAGTCACTGCATATAGCTGATTTGCCAAAAGAGTTGTCCTATCAGCAGTGGAGAAGCCAAACAAAAAGTGAAAATGGTAATTGTGAGCACATGATGGAAATTTTTTTCAAGACCGCATGCACATAAACAAGGTGGGGCTTAGATCACACTATTTTGGCTGCCATTTTGATGTGTTTGCACACACTCACATGCATGGATGCCCCTGCAATCGATACCAAAGATTAAGGCAGTTTAATGAAGGCTGATGGCTAAGACTGGATGGCCGCTCTAGAAACAGGCCATTACAAGGAACGAGGGGGGAAGTTGATATTGCTCCAGCAGAGACAGTTTAATGATGAGTTGGACATGACAGTTTTGCAAACTAACGGACAATGCTACCCATTTGAATGTGTGCCCTTATGACATTGCTCTGTCTTTTCAGTTCCTGGATAAGGTATAATTTATTGATCAGGAGAAAATATGCTGTGCATTGCAAGTGGAAACCAACCGCTTGTCAAATATACACAAGGTGAATTCCAATGGCAATGATAAGGACTTCAGAAATATTGGGAAAACTATTGAATGAAGTGAAAAATAAGGTTGATTTTGATGGGGGGGGGGATCCAATAAAAGTTCATACACCTAGATCACCTAACATAGAAATTAGGATTCTTAAAGTAGTCTTTAAGTTTATAGATTCTTAAAGTAGTCTTTAGGTTTATGTTGCAAAACAGTAATCAGGTGGTTAAAAGGTAAGGTAAGGAGAGATTGAATCAAACACCTAATTGAAGTCTCCAGTCCTAATTGAATCAAAAGGAAGCTGACTTACACAAATGCAGGGCCAGAGGGATCAGTTCACTTTTGCATTTTTGCAATTTCTCCAAGTTCATATGAAGGAATAAATTTCCTGTAAACGATGTAAAAAAAAATCAATACTGAATGTAGATTATTCACTCAAAACAGCTAAGCACAACAGAACAGCAATGGGAAAGCACTGTTGTAAGTAGAAGTAAGCATAAACATCTAGAAGCAATAAAGGGACTCTGGAGTTTTTCTCTAAGTCATCTTAGATTGTGTACATTTTTCAAAAGCGGTGCTTTGTCAAACAGGGCAGTATGTAAACAGTGCTTCTCTGCAGATTAAAACAGATAATTTTTTCCCCTCAGGTTCACACAGCAGCTTTGTAATTTTTTTGTAAAAATAAAATAAAATTCTGCAACCCTAGATCCCAACTTTCAAACAGATAGACTTTCAGGGCTTATTTTTATTATGCTGTTTATATTCTGTCAGTTTTATTTAGAAAAACACCATCCTACAAACAGTAGTCTGTGTTGGCCTGATTTATACATATTGTTCATAGTGATAAGGTTGACTGTGATATATTTATTTATTTTATATCCTCCCTTTATTATTTTTACAACTAAGGTGGTGAACATATCCAACATACCTTCCTCTTTCTATTTTCCCTACAACAACCACTCGGTGAGGTGAGTTTGGCTGAGAAAGAGTGACTTGCCTAAAGTTACCCAATCGGCTTTCATGTCTAAAGGAGGACTAGAATTCATGGTCTCCGGTTTTCTAACCTGATGCCTTAACCAAATCTTATATTGGTGGAGTTATCTTAATATAAATGTTTTCTTATGAGTACAAGACATACCCATGGGCAAATAAAAATTGTGCCTTTTTTATACTGTTTTTGTCACTTCAAAAACAACACGTGTAGTTATTTAAGAGTGGTTTCCTTTATTGTTCTTCACCTTTAGGCGGAATCTTGCCAGACTAAAGCAACTATTTGCATAACTACAGATATTCTGTGAATCGCTAGGGAGGAACATTTCTAATCTTCTTCCTGTTGACCAAACTTTCCAAGCTCCACTGCCTCTTTGCTCTCCTCCCTCCTGGGTATCCAGTCTACATTCCACCATAGTTTCTTCTGGTATTCAGAGTTGGATGGGTGACATACAAATATAATTAATAAATAAAGCATTGTTCTATCAAGCCCATGAAAACTATTCAGACCTCCTTTGGGGCAAGATATGATTGAATTGGAAAACTAGGTTTCCAAGAATCTAAAGCTACCAACATTAAGTCGTACCTTTACCAACCTTGTAATCTTAAACTGGTAAATATATTTTCAGCCATTGTGTTATTCTGACTGTTCAGGCTATCTCAGAAAGTGATGGCAGATAGAACACAATGATGCCATTAGGCTGAAGGCACAATGTTGCATAGAGGTGATGAAAATAAAATTTGGGTTAGGCAGCATTCTGAATTTGAAGACGAAAAGGTGCTCTAGAGCAGCGGTCGCCAACCAGTGGCCCACGACCCACTGGTGGGCCTTGAAAATTTTTTGGTGGGCCGCAGAGAGAGCACCCCCCCAAAGCAATCAATCCAGGCTGCACAGAAACACAAGGCTGCGCCACCCACATGGCCCGCAGGAATGCTCCCCGCCCACTCACTCCTTACCCGGAAAACTTGCCTGCTAAAATTGCTATTTTTCCTTTTTCCGACCATCATTTGTTCTGCTGTGCCAGGAGATTTAGATTAGCTAGGAAGCAGGGAATGGTTGGATTTCTTGCTTTCTAGCTAGTCTTTATCTTCGGCTCTGCCAAACCTCCCTTATGACTGAAGGTTTGCTTGCAAGCAAATTCAGTGCAGATTCATGGCAAGCAAATTTGAGAGACTGAGCTAGCCAATGGCAGATAGATAGATCACTGAATGATTCTGTGAGCAACTCAATCTGCCTACTTTGCCTGATTTTGTGTAAACATTGCTCTTTTTTAAAATAAAAAAAATCAATATTTACATTCATGGTGTGTTGTAAGTTAATTTTGTGAGTTTCCTTGCTAGCAAATGTTATGAGTTTGCTTGCAAGCAAATTTTATGTGACAGATTGAGCTAGCCAATGGCACATAGATAGATTTCTGAATGAATCTGTGATTTTGTGAGCAACTCAATCTGCCTGCCTGCTTTGCCTGATTTTGTGTAAAAGTTGCTCTTTTTTATAAAAAAATCAATATTTATATAAATATTTATAATATTTACATACAAGCCATGCCCAGCCAGTCACATGACCACCAAGCCACACCCACAAATTAGGCCACACCACAGAACCGGTTAGTGGTCCCTGAGATCAAAAATTATGAGTTGGTGGTCCCTGAGGTCCAAAAGGTTGGCAACCCCTGCTCTGGAGGTCAGAATGTAAAAACAGCACCTGTTACTAACTCCAAATGTATATTTTCTTGGAATTGTAGTGCAAAGACACCTTCACCCAATCCTTTGATTGTGTTATTGCTGATACATAGCCAAATAGAATGTACAGACAGATTTCAATTGCATCTCATAAAGAGCTGTGTTGGTTCTGTTCTATTTTCTTCTTGCAGTGAAATTACATTTAATCTTCTATAAATCAAAATGTACACTTGTACATGCAGAAGAAGGTTTTAACAATCTGTCAGCATATTAACTGTTGGTCTGCGCTGCAGTAACACCTTATGGTAAGTCATAATTGATTTGTTTGTCTGGCATACATAGAGACAATCTGAACTGGCTCCTGTTTCTTTTCCAGTCACAATCTGAGATGTCACTTTTAACATACAAAGGTTTTTGAGGCCTGGGGCCTCAGTATCAGCGATAACACATATTTCTGTACATTTCTACACATATCTTCAAGGTCATCCTCATAGGACCTGTTGATGTTATTCTTCTATGTTGAGGTAAAGTCATGGAAACCCAGAGGCAGGCCTTCTCAGTGGTAGCCTTTTCCAATGGCTGATTATTTTGGCTTTTTTGTACTAAGCAAATGACTTCTTATTCTCTGAGGCCTTTTAGTAGATTAATATTTTAATATTTTATACCTATATATTTAATATATTTTATATATATTTTATACGTATATATGGAGTCACAGAAGCAGTAGGCGTGAGCTTAAATGGACTCCGGCGGATGGTAGAGGACAGGAAGGCTTGGAGGAACATTGTACATAAGGTTGTGATGGGTCAGACATGACTTTGCAACTAACAACAACAAAATGCCTAGTGCACCTTGGCTAAACTCAAAAAGGCTAAGGCAGATCATACCCAATTAATGGTTGAATAGGAGACCAAGAAGAAATATCTGAGCTGAAGGCTGCATTTGAAAGTATAAAATAATTAATTCAGAAAAAGGAAATGGCAAATCACTTTTGCACTGTTTCCAAGAAAACTATGGATAAGTTTGTGTAGTTTCCAGAAATAAAGCTTGATTCTTATATATGGGGTGTTGTGTAGATTATTAACTTAATCTACCTGCAGTCACATTTTCATATATTCTATTTTTAAATGCTCTTTTAGTTCATAGTTTTTTTTAAAAAAATACAGTCTGATTTTACTGTGCTATAAGCTGCCAAGAAGAAACCCAGAATAAATATACTGTATGCAGCTTGTAAAATGATTTATAGCTAATTTTGAGTCATGAACCCAGCTGTGGTTCATTAAAAAAAAAAAGTTAAAGTATGACCTCTTTGATACTTGAGCTCAACTGTCTCTTGTTCGTATAAACCATAGCAGTGAACAGCATAAGCTCATCTGAAATGGTTTATCCACTTCTTTTGCTAGGTGGAAATTCTTGACTGGAAGACAAAACAACAGCTCTGCTTCCTCGAAAAGGTTAGTAACCATAAACACCACTTTTGTAATCACATTTATAGATGACTTTCTGAGCACTCAGAGATTTGTATAATATCTTCATACTGTAGCTGGGTGCTTCTTTAATTATATCCTTTGCTCCCACCCGCTCACCCTTCCCCAAAAAGAATATCTGCTTGCTTCTGATAAAGTTTTCTGTTATACAGGTCGAGCCACACACTACAATAAGTGACATCCAGGTGATGTTCCACAAGATGCGTGAGTATCTACATTTCAAAATGTATTTTAAAAGGGATGTCAGTGTTTAATTAAATTATATATAATTGCGAGGAGCATACAGAAATTCCTAAATGACGTAAGTTTTCTCAAAGCCGAGTTAATAATTTTTTCTACTAATTGCTGAATGTTTAAGCCAGCCTTTTTCACTGTGATGCTCTTCAGATGTATTATGTCTCTAGCTTTGCCTTCCCATTGCCTCCCAGAAGTAGACAGATGGCTGTCATTTGCCTAGAGTCAGAATGGGACAACTTGCTGCAGCCAATGTGCCATGGCCAACTTGCTGTGCCCAACCCACTATGGCCAGCATACCGCAGGCAACTCATCCCAGCTAACTTGCTGTGGGACACTTTAATTATGTAAAATAAAATTATTTAAAATAAAATTATTTAAAATAAATTTTAAAAATATTTACAATTATTTAAAATAAATAAAAAACTATTTTAATTTTTGTCGTTCCCATTTCATTTTGTCCCTTCTTTTGCATCCTTTCTTTGATGTTAGTGAACTCTTGTCCCTCAGCGAGTTGTCTTGTGGTGAGTTGGCCATGGCTAGTTGTCCCGCAGCATGTTGGCTGCAGCAAGTTGACCGTGGCAAGTTGGCTGTGTCATATTGGCCATGGCAAGTTGGCTGTGGTGAATTGTCATAGATCCTACTAGAAGGCATCAAATTGGAGAAGACTGGCTTAGGGTTTTCTGGGTTGAGTTAGCAGTACAGATCTTGCAAAGCTCATTTGCTGAAGCAGAAGGTGGTTGCCAGAAAAATTCCAAAAAGTTTGTTGTGGAATTTATATATTTATTTTATTTTTAAAATTTGTTCGCCATTGTCTCGCTCTGGGCGACTCTGAGAGGCTTCCAATATTAAACATAAATGTTTACCATTTATATATTTTATATTTATACATGCTTTTATTTAGAAATGTATTCATCTATGATTATATATGTTTATATTTTTTTTACCAGAAATGTTGTGTAACACTTTGGAAATCAATCCCACCAAACCCAAAGAGCCAAAGTATAGAAAGAACAAGTAAATAAGTGATTTGCATTAATTGAGATTCTTTATAATTTGTTGAGATTAAGTCAGAAAACTCAGAGGACTGAATAACAGGAAGGTTGTGTTTTTAATTGTGTGTTTCTATTTTTCCCCGTAGATCCTCAATGGTATCCAGCAAGACAATCTATAAGGCTCGATCCTAGTAAGTATCAAGTGTGCGTGTATGTGAGAGTGGGGGGAGAGGCAGGGAGGGAGATATATGTATGTATGTATGTATGTATGTATGGCCTTCAGCTTTGTTCGGGTATTTTCCCACGTCATTATAGTTGTGCTTTTAAAGTTGTAGCAACGTTTCGGCAGAATCTCATCTGCCATCATCAGGCTTCTGTATTGTGTTCGTCTTAATATATATATTAATTTAAACATTGCTATTTTCTCTAAATCAAAGCAGCTCATTCAGATTACAATGTTAAAATCCTTTCAAAAAAAATTAGTTCTTAAGTTGCTAACCTATCTTAAGTTGCTGCAGAAATATATTTAATTAGCATTTTGAATTCTGTGAAGTGAGATCTAGACTCCTGCATCCATAGACAGATCTGAGGCTGTTTAAGAGGAGAGAGAATCAAAATGAAAATCCTTTCCTCCTGGCTAATCTTCTCCTTCTCTCCTCTCGTAAGAAAAGCAGGCTGCTCGACCAAGGTCCAAGGCCATCTTCTTGTGAAGTTTGTCCAATTATTGAGACAGAGTTCTGGTAGAAAATCTTGTGTATAACACTTCTAGCTGTGATTTCATTTTAACACCCTGGTTCCCCAAAGACTAGACAGAGCGCTCATGTTTTGGACACAGAAGGTTACCAATATAGCCCAATGTAAGAGATTGTGATAGCAGACCTGAGAAACATCAGCAAAGAATGAAGAAAGGGAGAACAGATTACGCGGGACCATGATCTGCTTCAGTTGCATACGGGTAGTCCTCGACTTACAATCTCGACTTACAACGGTTCATTTAGTGACCGTTCAAACTTACAATGGCACTGAAGAAAGTGATTTATGACTATTTTACATGTTTAACAGCCATTGCAGCATCACCATAGTCACATGATCAAAATTCAGATGCTTGGTAACTGACTCGTATTTATGACAATTGCTGTGTCCTGGGGACATGTAATCCCCTTTTATAACCTTTTCACAAACGAAGTCTATGGGGAAGCCTGATTCGCTTAACAACCAAGTTACTAAATTAACAATTGCAGTGATTCACTTAACAACCATGGAGAGAAAGGTCATAAAATGGGACAAAGCTCACTTAACAAATGTCTCACCTAGCAACAGAAACTTTGGGCTCAATTGTGGCGGTAAGTCGAGGGCTTTCTGTGTTGACAATCACATGTAGATTCATTTGAGGTAATTTCCTTTTCCATTTCTTCAAATGCTTCCTTTCTTTTCCTTCAAATGTTCTTAAATGGAAGGTTTTGATGCCAGCCAAGACTTCCTGAGGTAAATAGGAAAGAATAGCTGTAGACAATGCAAGCTTTGATGAGGGATTGTGTATTTCAGTTCATCTTACAACTTTTTCTCATCCCTTCAGAAGGAAAATCCTTGAAGAATGAGGAAATCCTGCAACTGCTTCCAGTTGGCACCACTGCTACTCTCTATTTTAAAGATTTAGGGCCGCAAATTGGATGGACCATGGTGAGCCCCTCAGCTTTGATATGTTTTAATTAATTGCTGTTTTACCTCAGTAATATCTTGCAGTATGGTGTTATTTAGGTTTTTCTCCAATGCACAATGGTAGAGAATACCTCCTGCCTTTTAATTTTCTTTTCTAAACTCAAGAGTTGCTGGGATGAAGGATGGAAAGGGAAAAAATATAATCACCAAAAAAACTTGGCAAGCAAGTCCATAGCAACACAGCCCTGGTTGCTTGGCAACCTGACAAAACCCAGCTTGTGTAATGTCTATATTAGGGGATGCAACAAGAAAGTAGGGAGAGGATGCAGACCTCCAAAATTAGGGCGAGAAGGAAACAGTCATTTGATCCAATCACATGGAATGGTGCCAACTTTGGTAGAACAGAATCTATTTTTCCAACTTTTCATTTTTGGCTTCTGTTTTCTGAGCTCAAATTAGTGCTTCTTTGCACAAAGATGCTGTGACATGCCCCTTTTCTGAATTGGCTTTTTGCTTGTCATATCTGCTAAAATAATAAAAACAACATCTGATGGGGAAAAGAGATTTTTAAAAAGAAAACGGTCAAGTGAGAATGTAAGATGAAGCTGCAATTTGTGGGCACAGCAATTTGTGGGCACAGCAATTTGTGGGCACAGTAGGTTGCATTATAATCCAGAGTCATCCCCCTCCTTGTGTTTTCTTTATTCGATTTTTATCTTGCCATTATTACTTTATAAGTAACTCAAGGTGGCAAACACACCTAATGCTCTTTCCTTCTCTTATTTGTCCCATATAACAACAACCCTGTGAGATGGGTTGAGCTGAGAGAGAGTGATTGGCTCAAAGTCACCAAGCTGGCTTTCATGCCTGAGACAGTACTGCCAGTAGATCTCACAGTCTCCTGTTTCCTAAACCAGCACCAATACATTGCTACCCAATCTTTGCCAGCCTGGCAATTTTCAGGCGTTACACAGCCTAGCATGTTGCCAAGTTAGGGACTACTTGCATATATCATAAGATAAAATGGGAAATAGATAGCAAACCAATGATTTATATCTGGAATCAATGCACAAAATACAATTTGGTTGATTTAAACTATCGTGTTTCCCTGAAAATAAGACCTACCCAGAAAATAAGACCTAGCCTGATTTTTAAGTGTGCGTCTAATATAAGCCCTACCTTCAAAATAATCCCTAGAGAAGTGGGGCATGGCCAGCACAGGAGGCAGCGAGTGTGCGCAGGCCGACGGTGTCTGACAGCAGCCACAGCCTGCACAGCAGAGGTGAGTTGATTACCTGTCCAAGCAACAGACAGAGGCAGAAGCGAGGGAAAGGCAGATGGTCTGGATGCGCCATACGGGCCATGGGAAAGCTTAGAGTCAGTGGGACAGAGCAGCGGGCTGCCCTCGGGCCCACCGACTCTCGGCTTTCCTGCGGCCTGTGCAGTGCGTCCAGATCATCTGCCTCCCCCCACACTTCTGCCTCCGTCTGCTGCTTGGACAGGGGATCAACTCATCTGCACTGCATGGGCTGTGCAACCCCAGAGTGCACCAACCATGAGACCGGTGGGCTGCAGTTGCTGCCAGATACCCCACACACTTCTGACTCTTGTGCGCATGCTGGGGGCAGGGCGCCCAGCCGGACTGATCACCCTGAAATCGTGTTTCCCCAAAAATAAGCCCTAGTGCTTATTTTGGAGGGCCCCCTCAAAATATAAGACAGGTCTTTTTTGCGGGGAAATGTGATAATTTGTTTTGAGTTATACTGCTTATAATGACCAACTGCAAGAGGTATTTTAATAGGCTTGTCTTATGCATTTGAGCCAGTGCATCAGTCCTTAACAGATACATAGAAGGAATATTTATATTTCATTTGCTTATCCCACATTTATTTCCCTTCTCCCATAGCAACTCATTTGAACTGATCAGGAGCCTCATTCTGAATTGGGGATTCAGCCGTCTGTCTTGAATCCAACCATCTAACCAGGCTGTGTTCCTTATTAAGCACTATTGTTTTCAATTGTGTTAAAGGCAAAACCATCTCAGATTGCAAAATAAACACTGCAGTGTTTATACCGTTTCAAAGCGAAAAAATACAAGCAACCACAATTCTTAGGCGATGTAGACAGTTATGTAAAATAGGGGGTGGCGGTGGAAATGACAGCCTCAGGGGAAATAAGCAGAGTACTTTCTAGAGCAGTGTTTCTCAACCTTGGAAATTTTAAGAGATACGGGATTCACCAGCCAGCAAGTTAACATGTTGGTTCAAAGTGTTGGCTATAGCAAATGGTCCTTCAGCATCCATTCTTACTGGGAGAACTGCATGCCATGTTGATGGAGGGAGCTGGGCTGTGCATCAGCTTTGTAATATTCCATGCAGCCAAAGGTAATCTTCTAATAAGCACCTCTCTCTTTTGCAGGTATTTTTGATAGAATATACGGGCCCACTGTTCATCTATTTTGTGTTTTATCTCCGTATGCCTTTTATCTATGGCCAGGATGACAGATTTACCTCAGGCCGACATTCAGTAGTTAAGTGAGTCTCACCTCTAGACTGGGGGTGTTTTATTTTGGGGCATCACAGCTTTCTGCCAAATGTCTTGCCCGATTTGTCTTTTTAGTTTTCTGAAATGCTTTTATCTTGCTGTTTCTAGCTTGGCATGTATCTGCCATTCTTTCCACTACATCAAAAGGTTGATTGAAACAATATTTGTTCATCGGTTCTCCCATGGGACTATGCCACTGAGGAATATTGTTAAGGTAAATTGTCACAAAATCTACTTGCAGCCCTTGAATGCAATCTAATCTGGCCACTCCCTATAGGAGCCCAGTTTGTGATAACAACTTTGGGCCATAAATGATGCTCTTCAAAATGAGGAACTGTTCTCGGTTAGCATTTACTGTATTTACCGGACTATAAGCCGCTATAAGCCGCTACTTTTCCCCCCACGCTTTGAACTCTGTGGCTTGTACAACAATGCAGCTTATCTATAGATTTTTCTTCGCTAACTGCTATCAGGGGGCACAAAAACGTGACAGACGCAAGAGGTCAATGCAAAGAAGACGCTACCGGTAGTTTTTGGCACACTCAACGCATATATATCTGCGGCTAATATATGTAAAAATATTTTTTCCTTTTAAAATTTAGTGGGTGTGGCATATATTCCGATGCGCTCTATAGTCCGGTAAATATGGTAACATCTGCTACTGAAATCTGCCATTCCAAATTATTGCTGCAAAACATGGGACTGCGATACCTTATCTTTTTTTCTTCTCGCCAAGTGGGAAGATGCTCCTTGAGAGTGGCTTTCCTCCTTGGACACACACTCCTCTTAAAACTGTGGTGTCAGTGGGTTTATTAGACTTACAGGGGCTGTACTAGACAATGCTGATGCTTGATGTTGGCCTGCAGCTAACTTCACAATAGTAAGGTATATTTTACAGATTTTTTTTTAATGTACTCCTAGACTTCAGCTCCATCAGCAAAACCCAGGAAATTTCTGGTTCATTAAAATGTTGCAAACTTGCAACTATCCTTTTGTAGCAAAATTTTGGACTTGGGACCAGTTTGCAAAATGTAACTTGATGCACCTTCTCCTGGGACTGAACCATTACAAATTCTTGTCAGGGATTGATTTGAATCCTTTGCTATGTTAAAAATTCTTGAAGGAGGAAATAATAATAATAGCAGATTGAAAATGAGGCTAAAATCCCTCTCTCTGGCTCTGTGTGTGTGTGTGTGTGTTTCATTTTAAGGAGCAAAATGGTCAATCACATGTTCCTCTCAGTTCTGAGTTACCCTGAGAGTCAAAATAGGTGTTTTTGAACTTATAATTTGATCTTTAAATTAAGTGTTTCTTTGGGCGCCTCTGGAGGTATTTAATATTTAAAAAGAACAATGTAGCTAATAAATGTAGTGTTTTTTTTAATAATAGTGGAATGTGATTTCTGTATCATTTTGTTTTTGCATTTCACATTCTATATGCAAAAATTAATTAGATCTATATCCCATATTTCCTTCTGGAGTTCAGGAGGGAGTGCATAATAGACCTGCAATTTTTCTCATAACATCACATTAAGGATTGATTCAAATTTGGGCACTATTCCAAAATCTTAGCCACTCTACCATATTGATATAAGCATTGCATTTCTTAAAATGTATAATAGATAGCCTATGATTATTGTCATCCAATGTGGATTTTGGACTTCTATGATTCCCCCGCCCCCTATATTTTGCTGTGGTGGGAGATGCACAGAAAATAATAGCGTACCGACTGTCTCTCATATATAAAATATATCCAGATCACATTGTTTGTAAATAGTTGCTAATTTCCACTCGGTTTTGTATATAGAATTCTTGGGATGGGGATACTGCTCCAAATTAAAAATACAGTGACCCTAGCAAAGATGTAACAATTCTTTAGGGCTTTAAGTGCTCTTAGCAGGCAATTGTTCGCATTAAGATTTTTGTTTCTTGATGTTGCATCTGAAGAATAAACTATCCAGTGGCAGCTGGCCATTTCTTTCATTAGTTCTTTCAGTCTCCGCTGAAACAAAGACCACTTACTGTAGAAGCTGTTACTATTTGACCCAGATTATGTCCTTGAGATAAAACACGTGCTTTGCTTGAATCTGGTTGTTTGCATTAATTAGAGCATCGGCTGCTGTATTTTGTTCAATGCAAGAGACAGTTTTTAGCAATTCTCCAGGGAAAGCCTTTTTCTGGCCATTCAGATTATGTCTTAGAGCACATGATGCTAGAAAATACCCTTTAAATGTCTGCCTAATTAACACCGTGAAAGAGATTTTGAACTCTCTGTATGTGTGTGGTCTGTAGTTATGTAGCATTTACAGGCGATACTATTTGCAGGACCACCTCTTCCTAGATCCTTCTATTATGGTCCCTTAGATCCAGCAGGAGAGGCATAGCTGTGGGTCCTGTCAATCAAGAATGTCAACTTGTGAGACCCAGGGAGAGGGCTTGTTTTTCTGTTGCTGTTTTGCCCTTTGGAACACCATTTCCCTTAACATTAGGTGGCCCTGATCCTTCCGGCTTTTTGGAAGGCTTTCAAGACATGGATCTGTTCTGAAACTTGGATTGTTAGAGCCCGTAAGGCAGGTGTGTCAAACTCGCTTCACATGCTGGCCACGCCCACGCCCAGTTTAGCAAAGGGGGAAAAAGTCATGGTACATCACATGATGACGCTGTGACGACGCGAGTTTGACACCCCTGCTGTAAGGTATTTATTAATCTTATATAATATATCAAAGAAATAAACAAATAAGGACCTTTACTATTTATCTCCTGCCTTTATTTTAGTTTTTTTTATAAACAACTCAAGCCAGAAAACATATCTAAGCAAGTACTTTAAGGATACATTTGCCTACAGTTCCATTCAGCTCCCGTCAACAAGCGAATTATCTGCGCTGGCTTACAGTCGGATGTGAGGCCTGTAATCAAACTTCTAGATCAGCATTTTTCAAGCCTGCTGGCTGGGAATTCTGGAAGTTGAAGTCCAAACATCTTAAAAGTTGTCTGAATTGAGAAACCCTTGAATAGACAATAGTCTGGAGAAGGCTGAAATAGGTTGGTTTGAAAGCGCTTCCACAACATCTGATGGAAGCGGAATATTTTCTGTCGCTGTATAGAGCAGAATCAGAAATTGCTGTCCTCCTAAGTTGAATTTAAAAGTGGGAAAATGACCGTGTATGACATCGGTTAGTTAAAAGTGACATTATAAATATGCTGTTACCTATTTTCATCTTCTGATAAGAGGTGAGGAAAATAAACCAGTTTCTTTCTCAAATGTGAAGAGGCAAAAGTCTTTCAGGTGTAATTATTTTCACAGTAAACTCCACATTTTTGATTGACGGTAGCTATTGCCAAACAGCTTCTTAATGGGGCTTCTATTATCTTAGTAATCAGCAGTGTCAGTGATTGGGGGGCGGGGGGAAGGCAATGGGGCTCAAAACGAAGAAAGCAGTTTTACAATGCAAACCTCACTCTGTATCTCTGTTGCAGCATCACTCCTGCCTAAAAGGTGCAGCGCTTGCTGTATGACCCTGAAAGCTGAGAGAGAGAGAGAGAGAGAGAGAGAGAGAGAGAGACTATCTTTATAGTGTACAAAGTTAACATACAACTTTTTCATTTTCCAAAGGCTCCCTTTCTCCCTTTATTCACTGTAGGAGGGAAGATTTCCCGCAAATATAACATTTTTCTAGATTGACATACCAGGCGTGTTTTCCTTTGAGGTCCCTGAGGTTCTTTTAGCTGGTTGTATGAAAAGGCTCCATATGCTAGTTGAACTTGAACTGTACTATAAGAGGCAAGCATTTTAGATTTTAGATTTTTGTTCCATTGGAAGAAGAGGCAGTGTTATAAAAATGGGACATAAGGTCAATAAGTTGTTTTGGCTTGTGTCGGATTATGGGTTGGTCACTTTTAATCAGCTGCACTCTAACGTAAGATTCATTTCTAGGCACAATTACGATCCTGACGCTGAGCTTTTAAGCTCTTTACAGTCGGGGTAGTGGTACTTAGATTGCCTACTGGTATTTAAACTATCTGCTACTCATTTCACCCACACATTCCACTTCCACGGCGCAATCTTGTGGCCCCTGAACTATTGAACCTAAATTCTTTCCAATCTGCTTCTGAAGTGAAGTTCATGGTCTCGGAAAATTCTGAAAGAGGTAGATGGAGCAGAGGACCTGCCCTCATGTCAAACCTGACTCGCTCTGTAGTTGCCTGTACCTGCTTCCTCTCGCAGCTTTGCAAAGAATGATGGGAAGAGAGTAATGAGTTCCTTAGGGTGGAGGGAGGCTGTGGCATGTAAGTGAACCGTCTGTTGCCGGAGATTCGTTATCTAACAAGGCCAAGTGATGAAGAATGTTTTGACCGAAGCAGTCAGCTTTTCCTTAAGCAAAAGAATTAAACGCCATTGGTGAACTACGAACTGTGTGTGGCCCGGAGGGGAAAAGGGGAGTTACCTGTGTGAATTTCATGGGAAAATCCCAGAACTGACTTTGCTTCTGCTGTGCCTAGATGGATTTTTCAAGAAAGCTACACTTTTGGTTAATTTAAAGACCCAGGAGTTTCTTTCGTTGAATGTGCCAGATGGGGTGGTTGGCGCCTCAGTTATATCTCTAGATACCAAGAAAATTTAGAACAGCTCAGAAACTGATTTTTAAGTTTATCCTGTTCCACAGAAGGATTTTGTTTGTTTACACAAACTCACAGATCCTTTTATATCTGCTAGTTGAATTGCTATCAAGTCTGTGTTTCAAAAGTAAACACTCTCACACAAGTTTTAGGTTTAGTCCACCCATCAATATTCATAGCTCCTATTGCTATTTTTTAAAGAAAAAGGACAAAATTAGTGTCACGTCATCACCCCCCAAACACCTCTTCTTTGGGAGATTTATGCGATGTCAAAGCATATATACAAAAGGGGTGCGGCTTACAACACAATGCTGTTTTTATCAGACAGATCCCTTTAACCTGTATCCACCTACTTCTTTGTCTTAGTGAAATGCTAGCAGATTGTGGTGTTTGAATTTAACAGTGCAGCTATTATTTATAGGTAAACACTAGCATAGGTTGTTTTTGTCTGAAATTAAATGTAAGAAATAGTATTAATTTGCTTGAGGAATTTAAAGTCTATAATTATGCTGAATAAAATTGCCCTACTTGCCATCATAGATTTGAGAAGTTTGGGCCTCTAAAATATTCTGTATTAAAAATTTACCAAACTGGGGATCATATTTAGTGAACTCACTTCCAGAATGTTATAAATACTGTATGTCTGTTACAGCAAGGTCTATATTTAAAAAAACTATATGGATGTGAGATAAGGGGTTTTAAACATTTAAAAAGCATTTACTGTTTAAAAATCTCTTTCTTGTAAATCTTGTCGTATAAACTATTTATGGTAGCATTAATACTGTACTTTAAATTGTTAGGAAATAAAAATAAACTGAATTTTTTGTAGATAAGTCATAGGGAAAGCACAATTTGTTTCTTTGCACTTCAATCAAATCTTGTCATATAAACTATTTTTGGAGCATTAATGCTGCAAATTGTTAGGAAATAATAATAAACTGAAAATTTTTGTAGACTAAGAGTCATAGGGAAAGCACAATTCGTTTCTTGCACGTCATTCACAGATATTTATTTCTTTGGTTCTGAGGAACAAAATTATGGGAAAGTTCTGAATTACATTTGAATCACTTAACTGGGGAAGAAGTCGGGGATACTGTTGGGGATACTGTTATAATGGAGGAAACATCATTTCCCCATATTTTGTTAATATAACTTGAGAACTAATTCTTCTTTGAATATGTAGTATCTACTCGCATTCTGTTTATATGCATTAGAATTAGATAAAGAATTTGAACTGACAACAAGGTTCCTACCCGAGTGCACACACTGTATATTTTATGTAGACCTCTTTAATGTAAAAAAATTAACCAAAATATAAATGACTTGTTTTACAGAATTGTTTCTATTATTGGGGATTTGCTGCCTGGCTTGCTTTTTATATCAATCACCCTCTTTACACACCACCATGTAAGTAGCAAAAAAAAAAAAAAGGAAAATTCATTTGAATGTTTCATTCAGCTGAACCTTCATAAATATTTTTTTCTGCAGATTATGGACAAAAACAAGTTAATTTTGCTCTGATCATGTTCCTGGTGAGTATATTGCAAATTAAAAATATATAGTAAGAAACATTTATAATTATTATTGTCACATTGAGCAAACACTTTATTCAGTATGATCCTAGCATAATATTGGCATGTTGGTGTGATGAATCTAAAATCTTGCCAATAACAGACCAGTAGTGAGACAGTTTGGTGTAGTGCAATGGTGGGATTCAATTTTTTTACTATCGGTTCTGTGGGCGTGGCGTAACTTGGTGGGCATCGCTTGGTCGCCATGGCAGTGGAAGGATACTGCAAAATCCCCATTTCCTCCCCACCCCACCAACCTGGTTTCCAGCTCTGTTCTCCTGTGCAGGGCAACAAAAGAAGACCCAGCCAATCAGCTGGGACTCGGGAGGCAGAGAATAGATGGGGGAGAGGCCAGTCAGAGGTGGTATTTGCCGGTTCTCCGAACTACTCAAAATTTCCACTACCAGTTCTCCAGAACTGGTCAGAACCTGCTAAATGCCACCTTTGGTGTAATGGCCAAGGCACCAGGCTAGAATTCAGGAAACAGTGAGTTCTAGTCCTGTTTTAGGCCCAAAGCTAGCTGAATGACCTTGAGCCAGTCACTTGCTCTCAGCCCTAAAAATAAGGTAACAGGACCACTTTCAAATCTTGCCAAGAAAACTGCAATTTTCACCAGCACTCAATACAGTCTCAAAATAGCAGGAACTGAAGGTCAGAGACATTCTCATTTCTCTGTCTTCTTTTTTCTTTTGATTTTCTTTTACTCCCATTGCAGCCAATGACAGAAAGTATATTTAAGGCAGTTTTAAGGCAGATACACATTTCCTATATATTAGGTGTCATGGAGATGAGACGCTCCAGCTGTTATTGCTTTTTAGTATTTTCCAACAATTTTTTTTTTCAGAAGCTGGTTAGAGGCATTTGGAAAGAAAAATAGAAGTAGTAATTTACTTATTTTTAGAATTTATTTTTGTTTATCTGCATTGTCTTCATAATTTTACACTTTGCAATAAGGAACAGGTATCTGAAGTTCGCCTCTGTACATGATATATGAAATTGAGCATCATCCTGGAAAATATGTTGCAATCTTCAAATAAATTAAGAGAGTATATTGTGAGTGAATCTGTTTTGAATTAGAAGTTGTCTTGGTAGAGGGCCAGTAGGGAAAAAAAGGATGGAAAGAGAGGGGTAAGGTAAAATGAATGGAAATAAAAGTTGGTTGGTTTTCAGTCACTCAGGTTTTCTCAGCCAAACAGCATTATTGTGAGAATAAAATTAGGGTATACCACTTTCCATGTTTCAAAGGAGTCACCCCCAAACAATTCCTTATATGTATGACATCTTTAGGGTTTGTGTGGAGTTTGTCATCTTGTTTTTAAAAAGGAGAGACACATATGCCACACAATTTTCTGCATACCAGGATATTGTTTCTAGTAATTCTCTGGATGTTTATATACTACTGGCAACTTCCTGAACTAATTTACACTAATTGGTATGTAATCAAAATAATTTGGCAGAAACTAGACACTCAGAACCTAGTATGTGGTTTTAGCAAGGCTATTTGAGCCCTGTCCTTTGGTTTACAAGAAAATTATCATGGTAGATAGCTCTTTTAGCATGCTATTTATTTAGTTCTATTTTTAGCTCAACTCCTATCAAAATGGATTCTTATTGGCTCTTCCTGGCTTTTTCCTCCTGCACTAGGCCTATTCTGTGATGTGCATGTTTTTATCATTATCCTCAATTATGTGCTATGTCTTTGATTTTGTTGGGTTATTAAGTATTGTATTTATAATTCTATAAGACTATAATTTATAAGGCTGTCCTTCTCATAAATTGTGAGACGGGCAACCTTATAAACCTTTTGAGTTAAGAAAATAAATATGCATTCAAAGTGTTAGCATGATAACAGGCTTAAAACGAAAAACTGAATAGTTTCTTTTCATATCTTAGCTACACACTACAAAACAGTATAGATTATTTAAGATTATGCCTAGTAACTTCGCCATTTGCAAACATTCTTCGCAATTACCGTACCTTTTTAGAAGGTTCAAAGAAAGAAACTTTACTTAAAATTAATTAAATACATACATATGATATTCTATGCATGTATTAAGAGTTTCCAAATAAGGGCAATAAAGGGTCATCTGAAGAAGCATTTTCCCTTCAGTGTTAATCAACAATGCATTGTTCTTGATTTCTTAAAGCAATGAAGGGTTTTATTTTTATGCAGCTTTATGTGTTTCTAGAGGAATCATCTGGGTGCTTCCCATAGGAACGCACAATTTCAGTGCCCAGCTGTCAGTTGGAGTGATTGAGATACAGCACAGAGGTTGACTGAGTTACCAAAATAACTCTTCCTTAGATTTTGAATAGCTATCTGAACTGAATCCCCAGAGCCCTGGATAATTTACCTGCTCTAAGATGAACCAGCCTTTACACAGATAAATCAAATCTGAACTTTATGTCTTTTTGGCAGTTTGGGAATGATCTAATAGAAGAAGTCTAAATCAAATGTTTGTAATAATTTGTAACAACTGAAGCTTTACAGGTAGTCCTCAACTTATAATCATTCAAAGTTATAACTGTGTTGAAAAAAATGACTTATGATTGATCCTTGCCCTTAAAACTGATGCTGTGTTTCTGTGGTCACTAACAAAATTTGGGAGCCTGGCAATCGGCATCCATTTATGACGGCTACAATGATTGATGTCATGTGATAAACCTTCCCAGAGAATGTTCTGACCTAGGCTTCCCCAACAGCATGAAGCTGAGTCCTCATCCCGATAAACCCCTTTTATTTAATTTATAATGAATTTCCTTTCCAACAAAGTCCCGGCCAACAGTCTTTCAAAATAGTTCCCAATTACAGACCTTTATCAGGTTTGGAGAGTGGCCAGGCCGATATCTTTCAGATGCCACAATACTTGGCAAGCATGCCGGAATGAACTAATTGCCTCCTGCAAAGCTCCACTCCCCTTTCATTCCTCTTTTATTCTCTAGGGGAAGGGCCATTCACCGTCCACCTGTGGCTTTAACTCCCAAGTCGGCCCTTCAGCTGTTCCCTTCTTCTGACAACTCTGTGCATGCACACACTGGGAACAGGCTCTAGCTATTCTTCTGCCTCACTGATGTCTGACTCTGAATGCAGCTGATAACTGTCAGATGGCCCTGGCCCCATCTCTGTGTCCGAAGCAGAGCACTCATCAGAGCCTTCCCCAGACTCCAGAACTGGCCCATGCTCCTTCCCAACCTCCTCACTGTCCGAATCTGCTACCAGTTCCGCTGGCCACTGTCGGGCCACAACAGAGAACTTCTGACAAGAAAAATCCATGAGGGGAGCTGGATTTAATTAATGATCATGTGATTTGCTGAATGCCCATGGCAAAAAGGTTGTAAAATCAGGCCTAACTCACTTTGTGACCACACTGCGTAGTGATATAAGTTCCAGCACCAATTGTGTCAGGGACTACCTGTATTTGAAGATGTGTCAAAAAAAGCTGTAACACCATGCAGTCCAAAGGTATCATGGTGTAAACAGAAATTAGGTTTCATTTTTAAAACAGGACAAAACAGATGAGATGTTTAAGGAATCCTTCCTTAATTGGTTTCTTCCAATGTGTTGGGGCTCTCTGTGAATTTCACAGTCAGTATGGGAGCCCAATCTATCTGAAGTGCCCCCAAATGGGTCTGTATGAGAACTAGCTCTGTCGAATTAGGAAAAAGTATACTGAGAGCCTTCCTCTACTATTTAAACTGTCTTTTCTTTCATTGTTTCTATTTTCATCCACTTTCTCATTCTCTCTCATTGCAGACATGTGAAGCTGGAAACTTTTCTATCCATATTACCCTTAGTAATCTGAGAAGAGATGGAAAAAGCTGAGTGTTTTGCTTCTAATTAAATCCTTTTGAGGTTACTGTTGACTTACATTTATAAATATATAGGTGAATAGGGGGAGCCTCACCAAGAGCCTCTTCTGGATGATCTCAACAGACGGCTCTACAGAGTAAAATAAGATAAATATGTATGAAAATGTTATCGTGTGGAACATTCCCTTTGGGTTTTAGTGTCCTCCAGGATTTTGTAGTCTATCCATTCTGTATCTCCATCCCTACTTTCCCCCCAAGATTCAGCATGTCCCATGAGCATGCTTACTTGTTATAACCCCTTTTTTTTTCCAATGTCATCTTCTACCCCAATTACGGGAGAAGAAGGATGTCTCTTTTTTTCTTTCTGATTGAGCTATCTTTGATCAATGTACTATCGACTTCATTTAGTGACCGTTCAAAGTTACAGCGGCACTGAAAAAAGTTACTCAGGGCCATTTTTCACATGTACAACCCCTGGCCATGTGATCCAAAATCAGATGCTTGACGGTTGGTTTGTATTTATGACGGTTGCAGCATCCCAGGGTCACGTGATCCACTTTTGCGACCTTCTGACAAGCTGAGTCAGTGGGCAAGACAGATTCATTTAACAACTGTGGCAAGCAAAGTTGTAAAATGGGGCAAAACTCACTTAATAAAAGTCTTACTTAGCAACATAAATCTGGGGCTCCATTGGGGTCGTAAGTCAAGGACTATCTATATTGTTGGGCAATTATGAGACTCTCAACCCCTAGAAATATAGGAATTCCCTTGAAACTGCTTCCTCTTCTTTAACTGCTTATCTAGAAGGGTTGGCAGTAGTGGGGCTGCTGAAAGATGCATTAATTTTACATACTGTAAAATGCCTTGAGAATTGAAGTATCTCTGGTAGGTACCTCAATGAAAAAACAGGTGAACTATAAAATTATATGAGCATAATAATCACATCCATATTACTGGTGCTACCTTCCAAGCCTTGTACTAAAAGAAATATTGAATGTATTTTTTTAAAAAAAAAAACCTACACAAAGTAGAGCAGGTAGTTTTAAATTTTTTTTGGATCTTTCAATTGATAGGATCCAAGACCTGTAAGATCCCTTATCCAACGAAGAATCCTTTCACGTGGCTATTTTATTTTGTGTCTTGCCCCAATTATACCTATGAGGTAAGCATTTTTAATATTGCAAAAAATTGGTTTTGCTTGATGTATATATACTTTACGTTGCTATAGGGTCACTTATGAACAGTTGAAAGCTTCAACTGCACCCTTAAATATATCCCTATGTATGATAAACCACCGTATTACTTTGCAGAACATGTTCAGAATACTACAGAATGCAAAAACATAGCAAGCATGAGCAATAGATGAAATGGTTGCATAGTATTTCTTGCAGATGAGGGATTACCTCAGATCTGCTACAGTTTCAAGGACACTGGGGAAAAATGAATAACATTTTTTAAAGAACTGCAAATGAAAAGTCCTACTATAAATTAGTAATAAATTAGAAATGTACGTAAATGGGAAAATTTGTGGAAAACGGATCACGCAGAAGCTGCTTAGACAAGTATTTTTCTAATTTATTTTATGTGGGTCATTTGAATATTGGAATACATCAAGCTATTTTAGCTTCACACTCTTTTTAAAAAAAATATAAAACTGAAGGTAAATTTTGACATTCTAGGACATCTCTAGTCTAGGTGATTTTGCAAGGCTTTACAATTCCTAGTACTATAATGTAACAAAAGTAGCCAGAAATTCTTCACTTTGCTCTACATTATATTCCTTAAAAGAGTGTTTAGCATAATTATCAGAAGTGACTTTTTATATCGAATTTATGGGGAGAAGAGCGGGAATTATTAATTTTTTAAAATGAATCATCAAAATTTTATTATTTTAAAATTGTTTCCAGGAAGGAGAGTACTAACAATACAACTAAAACCATTCTGCTGTTATTTTGTTTCTGATCCTTAATAAACATGGTAAATTGAGGCAAAAAAAGCATTACAGGCAGGCAGTTGATATATAGTATTAAAATTAGACCCGCCCCATGAAATTCTATGATTGTGAGGCATGCCAATTGCGGCAATAAAATTCTCAAAGCACTCTTTGTGTACGTCTTTTTACCATCATCTTCAATTAGTAGATGTCAGTGCTTTTCTTTTAAAGGCCCTACACATCATATTTCTGTCTACTAATATTTAAGAACTCTATACCTTCTTTACTTAATTACTTTATCTTGGACAGGAAATGTTTTCACACTTATTTGAAAGATCTTAAACTAGAACTTCATAAATGTAGCAACTCATTTCCAAGATATTGGTTGTAATCTTTAATTATTTGCATGTTTATGTTTTACTGCTTTTGTTTTACAAATTAATATTAAAAATAGTTATGTTTGATTATTTTAACATAAAGGGACTAGTTACATTTAGCAATTTTAATCATGTGAAATAGTTCTAAATCTTCTTGGCCATTACAGCTGGGAACATGGATTGGTTTTACTATCATGACTCAGTGCGTTCCAGGTGAATAGCATTCTTGGCTTTAAAATTTTGGGGTATTTATTCTCAATGGAATATTTTGTAATGTTAACCACCTTTTTTTCTCTTGCAGTGGGATTGTTCACCTTGCTGTGTTTCATTCAGATGACGGTCTGGGCAAAGGACAAACACTACACTTATATACGAGAGTTTAAGGACTACCCTAGTTTTAGAATGTCCATCATTCCTTTCTTATTATAAGAACAATGTTTTTCCCTTACTGAATTATAAGCAGGAAAATGGATGGGCATCCAAGAAGACTGTTGACAATGGAGCCAAGATATGAAAATAATTTAGATTGATTGTTTCTGATGCATGTTAATACTGTGTTGCAGTGAGAGAGGCTCACAAGTCACACTTCCCTTTCTGATATGCAGGTTTTAGCATTGACTCCTCTTTTTTTCCATCATATTGCCTTAAGGGTCATGAAAAACATTCATATTTTATTGTAGTTTGATCCGCCAAGGTAACAGATAAGTGGATGCTTTTGATGCTTCTTTGGGTTTGACTCTGAGGGGGAAAAAAATCATGAGCATCCATACCGCATCCAAGAGAGAAAACAAGGTTGCATCTGGTATAAGATGCTTGCTATAGCAAGCGGTATAGGTCATTTATGGGAAATCTCTAGCCTGCAGGCCTAATCTGGTTTATGGGGCCAGCATGTTACAGCCTAGGGGCCTTGGCCTTAATCTAACCTGCACTGAAACCTGTCTCATTCCCCCCCATGGGCCCCTCTCATCACTGCCCTGCTGACTGGAAGCACATCCGGTGCATGGCTTTCCCAGGGAATACTCACTATTGGCAGATCGTCTAAGAGTTGCCTTTTGCTTCCTCTCAACATGGAGGACCTACATCAGCTCCAATCAGGGTCTCCCTGCACTGTATTTCTTTTGATTGGGAAATGTGCACACTTGACACAGGCATCTATCTGTTCCTAACCACAATGGCGCCAAAGTGACTTATCAAAATAAGCATTGTGATACCACAATAAAAACCCCACTTCTTCATGCTTGCATAGTAACATCCAGAGATGGGCTGCTGCTGGTTCAGACCTGTTCGCACGTACCGGTAGTTCTGACCACTGGCTGGGCCTGCCCACCTGCCCCGGTGCTATCCTCTCCTATATACCTCACTCTCTGGCTCACTCGCCCTGCTCACACAGCCCAGCTGATTCCCGCGCCTTGCCCGCTCTACTCACTGCGGCTGCCTGAGAAGGTGTGCTGGAAGCCATGCGCATGAAATCACTGTGTGAACTGCGCTCACATTTTCAGTTCTGCACTAGGCGAACCATTTATTAAATTATGTGAAGCCCACCTCTGGTAACATCCCACAAAATACACGAGTTTACAGTGGAAGGCACATTTCTTCACAGCTGTCCTATTCTTTATAGATACCAATACATACTGGACAATTAGAAGAGCAACTTTTAGAGAATGCACAGTGGAAAGTGTTCAATGAAATTTATAACTCCCCTTAGTCCTGGATGGTGAACTATGTTTCCCCATTCTCATTCTGCATAGAAAAGGAGTAGAGTTTTATTTTAAACTCTACATCCTGAAATTATAATCCATTGGGCCAAAGAAATTCAAATCCAATTCCCAACCCTGGTTTAGAACATGTTACACAGTAGAATCACAAGGAAAGAAAGCAGTCAATACATTAAGAATAATTATCTGATGTAGCCATCTGGTGATCCTACCAATCAGCTACTCTGAATTGTTTATGATTAAGATACAATTAAGCTTAGTAAAATAAATAGAAAAATAAATTTCTGTAGAGATTATCTATCCAAATATCCCCAATAAAAGTAGACCTTGGGTTGACGGATTGCTATCACTGAGCAATGCAGTCATAAAGTGTGACATGCATGACCTCATTGCTAAACAATTCAGGCACTCTGTGTTGTCATCATAGCTCCAGGATGGGTGGATCATTAAGCAGGAGTTCCAGGTAAGGGGCTTGGGATGCCACAGGTGCTGGCACAGCCTGTGTATGAATTGGAGGAAGGGGTGCTACAATGAGCACAAGCGCAGGGAGGCTGAGGTAAGGAAAGGAGAGTATGATACGCTGCACAGGAAGGCCGTGGGGTGGGGGTGTAATTTACCTGAGCAGTTTGCAACCTTCTCTGCCGTTTCCCTCTTTGAGTTTGCTTGTGAGAAGGTAGCAGGGAAGGTCTCGAATGACAATCGCATGACTGCAGGATGCTGCAACTGTTGTAAGTTGCAAGCTGCTTGCCAGGTGTTCATAATCATATGACCATGTGGATACTGCAATAGCTGGAACTTTGATGACCAGCCATAAATACACATCTAATGCTGTGACAACTTTGGTTGCTGAACGAGTAGTCTTGGCAAAGCTACCAATAAAAATACAATATTGGCTGAAGGTAACAAAATAGATAAGGAAATGGATTTTTACCCAATCTTTAGCATGTTGTGTCTTCATGAAGCCCTATTAGATAGAGGATGCATTCCCTACATTAACTTCACGACCTCCTGCAACCTGGTGCTTCCACTAACTGCTATGGCATCTTATACTACCTGCATTTCTCATGCTTGGAAATGCTTATGTTTATACTTCAATTCTATGCACACTTACTTGAATGTAAGTCTTATTGGTATGACTTACTTTTAAGTAAAGGTGCATAGCAGCAGGTTACCTATAGACTGCAGTCCTCCAGCCTTATGCCTGGATGCAAGGAAATATAAAACAATCCTACATTGTATTTTCCCTAAAATGCCCCACTTATTTTTTTAAAAAAATGTGTGCAAAATTGTATCAAGAAATCAGTATAACGTTGTCTTAAATTTTTAAGAAGACTGTAGCAACAAAAGCACCTGGGATGTTTCAGATGTATTTATCTAAAAATAATGTACATTTTTCAGCTATTTGTATAGAGATAATATGTAATAAACTGAAACTTTTAAACTTGGTTGAAATTACTGTGTGACTAGAATACCCACTGCAGTGAGTGGCCAAATTTTGGTATTTTATTATCCAGAAAAACAATATGCTCAAACATATCCATGATATGTAAAAATGTAAAAAATACTCCACCTTCGTACATAGAAACTCTAAAGTCTTTGTGCAGCACTCAGTACTTCTGGGAAGGTTGTTTGGAAATCAGTTATAAGTAGTCCTTGACTTATGATTGGTCACTTATTGACCTTTCAAAGTTGCAATGGACGCTCCCCCCAAACTACTTATGGCCCTTTTTGTCCTTGAGGACTACCTGTAATTATTTTTCGACTAAATGTTAAAATGTTCTATAAAACTCGTTAAACAGATGTGAGTTTATGGATGTCTTGTTAGCCTAACTTAGGTCAAGAAACCTTGAGCTGCAATGTTGCCGGTAGTTGATGTCCTTTTTTCTGAAGATCTTCTGAAGGATAGCAAAGGCCTTCTTTTATATAAGAGCCCCTTCAAGGTTGTGGATTTGTTCTTTTTGTATTTTTGTTTTTAAATTGTTGTAGCTGCCCACTCTTGAGGTGTAACTGTTGCCTTGAAATATATGCCACCACTTTGACTTATATAGTGCTTCACAGTACTTTACAGCCCTCTCTAAGCGGTTTACACAGTCAGCCTCTTGCCCCCAACAATCTGGGTCCTCATTTTACTGACCTTGGAAGGACGGAAGGTTGAGTCAACCTTCAGCCTGGTAAGACTAAAAATGCCAAGCTGCAGGCAGCCGGCAGTCAGCAGAAGTAGCCTGCAGCACTACTGCATTCTAACCACTATGCCACCACAGCTCAGCAGCTGCTGTTTTAAAGATTTGAACTGTTCAAAGTGGGTCTTGCATAATGTTTGTCCTGAATAAAAATGGTCAGAATACCACAAGCCAAGATACTGAAAAATTAGAACTTTCCCATTCGTCCCTAACATTTGGCCATTACATAGCAGGCAGTGTGGGCTATTTTCACCCCTAAGCAATATCTCTGTCAGATTCGAACTCACTGCCCCCCATTCTGACTCTTACTAAGAATTTGCAATGTTATTCCATTTTCTTTAAGGTTTGGAAGATTGGTGTCAAGGGCTGGCCCTCAGCAACTGGAAATGTTGGCGTAGCTGCCACACAGCTTTTATTTGCTTAGGTGCCGACAGACAGCAGGAGTCACTTTCATGTCTCTATTAGCTCCAGCTGCACGAGGGTGTAGAGGAATCTCCTCATGCTCCATCTGCTGTTTAGCGAAATTCACAAAAACCTGCAGGAGAAAAGCAGAGAAATGTACAGCAAGAATTACCCTAGGAAGCCAACTTCTAGTAGATATTGGGATTATTTAAAAAAATGACAAAACGTGTGATAATGCCACAACACAAACCCTAGCCTTCTGTATTTCCATCCTGATATCTGACACAACTACATTAGTCATGGGGTTTGTGTTGTGATTTCATGTCATCTGCTCCTCTACAGACACTTTGGGAAAGAGATCAATCCAGAAGCTGTCCAGAAAGCGAGTAAGATTTGGGTGAAAAAAAAAAAATCATCTTCCCCCAATGATTTTCGTTCACACAAGCTGATCTGATAGAAGTAGTAGTATGCTAAGTTAGGGTGATTTTGAAAGTTGACATACTTAACAAAACTTTTTTTCTGCAAACAAAATATTTTATATTCATTTAATTAGGAAAATTTATATAGCAGCCTTCTCACTCATGAGTACTCTGGGAGGCTTACAGAAAATAAAAACACAATGCAGAAGGAATAATAAATAAATAATAAATAATAAAATAACTCCCCCATTTCCCCCTCGACTATAACACACACTCATATCAGCCATTTAATGGGCTCCATCCCACCCTGGGTTCCCCAGGTTTGCTGGCAAAACCACATAGTCAGGGCCAGTCTATTTCCGGACGGATGAAGTTCCGGAAGGAGGGAGCCATCACAGAGAAGGCCCTTCTTCTGGGTCCCACCAGATGTACCTCCTTAGGGGACGGGACCCGCAACATTCCTTGCCTTTATAAATCTGCATTAAATCCATACAAAGGGTGTATAAGCAGCAAATGGATCACTCTTCTACAGAGACAGAAAAATCTAAAACCAAACCATGATTATTGTGAAATTCCTTTGCAACTACAAAGAAATGTTTAAAAGATAAGTGCTGCTGAAACATCTACAAACAGTAGTCCCGCTGGATGGGACTCAACTGCCCTTTCAAATCAATGAACTTCTGCCCCAAAGTGGGAAACTGAATTACCCCAGTTTCTAATATATGGTACTGAAATAGTTTCTGTAGTTGGACTGTTTACGTTAACTTAGTGGAAGATTTCTATTTTCAGAATATTTTAATTTACCTGATCTAGAGTAGTTTGTGAGATAGAGTATTCTTCAATATTTAGGCTCTCTTTGTTGGAGAGAATTAACCTAAATATCTTGGCCAGTGAGTAGGTACATATTTGGTACTGCAGCATGTTATAGTGTTTTTCTCTCTGTATCCCTCTTGGAAAGTTCTGGCACATGAATTGTTCTACTTGGTTGAGATCTGGAAGCAATCCAAGTTTAGGCGCCTTGATTTTCATGGTAACAATGTATCCATCTCCGTATCTATAAGATAGCCATGGTTCATTAATTTATATGTTTGTGCAGTAATATTCACATTTATTTTATGAGAAACTTCATAAAGGGAGCACACAATTATTAAATTACATACTTTCACAAATCCTTAACCATGAACACGAGATACCGTAAATCTTCAACTTACTTGTATTTGAGATCCTGGATGGTGCCCAGACATTTGAAGGTGCCTTTAGCCATGATAGCTATGCGAGTACAGAGCGCCTCACATTCTTCCATGCTTATAAAATAAGAAACACATTGCACTTTACATTTAACATACAAAACAGGAATCTGATTTCAACAAATAGATCTCTTATGGTGGCCTGGTGTGGTCTTATCCTGTCTTTACCGTCATGGGGGGGGGAAAAAACTTTAAAAGACAGGAAGTGGGGAGACTAAATAATCCTTTCCTAATCAGCTGCATTCCCACCTCAAACATTCCAGGCTAACTGATAAAATTAGTTGCAAACTCAGGAACAGCTGGCACTATCTTTACTGTGCTCACAGAGCTAAGCTTTGCCATAAAAGAAGAAACTTGGTGAGATGAGTTGGACTACATTAGACTGACATTATCTTGGAATTTCATTGCAAGGGATATTTCTTAGTTTTAACAGAATAACAGAGTTGGAAGGGACCTTGCTCGGGCAGAAAACCCTGGCCTATACTATTTCAGATAAATGGTTGTCTAATCTCTTCTTAAAAACTTCCAGTGTTGGAGCCTTCACAACTTCTGGAGGCCAGTTGTTCCACTGATTAATTGTTCTAACTGTCAGGGAATTTCTCCTTAGTTCTAGGTTGCTTCTCTCCTTGATTAATTTCCATTCATTGCTTCTTGTCCTGCCCTCTGGTGCTTTGGAGAATAGCCTGACTCCTTCTTTGTGAGCAGCCTCTCAAATATTGGATTGCTACTATCATTTCACATCTAGTCCTTCTTTTCATTGAACTAGACCTACCCAATTCCAGCAACCATTCTTTATATGTTTTAGTCTCCAGTCCCCTAATCATCTTTCTTGCTCTTCTCTGCATTCTTTTTAGAGTCTCAACATCTTTTTTAAATCATGGCAACCAGAACTGGATGCAGTATTCCAAGTGCGATTTCTCATTGTTCTCATTTTTTTCTACCTATTCTATTTTCAAAATAATAATAAAGAATTGGTAATGCTGGCAGTCATCAATCTTTACATTTTATTTTATTTACATTTTAGCATTTACAGAGCTTGTCAACAAGCTTTTGCTGTACATTCACACTATCTCATAGAATATATGTGCTGTTGTCTTTTATTTGGAGCATTCTCATGTTTAACCATCACCATTCTTTCTTGCTTTTTCTGCAAAGCTGTTTTAAAAAAACCACAGCAAATAAAAAGCGGGTGCAAGTAATCTGCAAGACTTCTATAGGAAAGTCAAAGCATTTGCTAAAACCAAAACATCTGTATTTTCCAGTAAGAGGCAGCCATTTCCAAAGCTTTGGAGGCTGCTACTAGACCAATTTTCTGATACTCTCAAGTGATATGAAGACAATCTTTTCTCTGCTGCCTCCTACAATGGATTAAAAATGAAGTGGAGAGCAGGTACATTCCAAACTTAAACCAACTTAAATAAATTGCTGTCATTGTATCATTTATGTACCTTTCTGAAGCTATTTTAGCAAAACCTAAAGATTGATAGTGCAGGTGGAATAATTAAACATCATTTTCAGGACACAAAATTGTAATTGTTGAAAAAGTAAAATAAGGAGACAGTAGAGTATAGTTGCAATGCACACTGGGATGGACCCAGACAATTCCCCACTCCTTTATCAAGCTAATTCAATGACTTGAACCAGCCGTTATCTCCCAGCTTAATCTATCTCAGCAGGCTTGCTGTGAGGATAAAATGCTAGGAGGCAGTAATTGCTTGAAGGAAAGGCAGAATCAAGGAGCCGAGGACCCTCACGGCCTTAAGAAAGTGAAGCTAAAATCTGAATGAGCTGAATCCATCTGAATGAGCGATGAGTGCTAACCAGGATATACAATTCAATTTACCTTGATGGGAGCAGGGCTTACATTACCTGTGAGAAGTAAGAACCACAGCTCTTCCATCTCTGATCACGCTGAAAATGGAGTTCCATAAGAAGCGTCTGGACTTAGGGTCCATTCCTGTAGTTGGTTCATCCTGTGAGAACAGGAATATGGAAAACTAGTAAGTTTTCTCAAGATCAGATGGTGAAGCACTCTCCTCCCTTGTCAAAGAAGTAATATTTTTAGAGTTCCAGTTATTTATTTGTATCCCACCTTTATTATTTTTACAAATAGTTCAAGGCAATGAACATATCCAACACAATTTCCTCCTTTGGGTGTTCAACATTCTTACTCTTGTGTGTGCTAAAAGGTAACTTTTTCAAGGTCTGGACGTATGTGTCTCATCCTTCAGAAAAAAGGTGTACCTCATCTATCAGAATTGTGCAAAATGGCTTGACATAGCTTATCGGCCTTCATTGAGTAGAAAAGGAAAGACAGCCAAAAAAGAAAGAAAAATCTATGAGCAGATTCTGCAAAGAGCTAATCCACACCAAAAGTAACTATGGCATAGAGTAGGGGTGTCAAACTCGCGGCATCACATCACATGATGTATCGTGACTTTTTCCCCCTTCGCTAAACCAGGAGTGGGCATGGCCAGTGTGTGACGCATCCAGTACATGGGCCGCAAGTTAGACACCCCTGGTGTAGGGGTGGGACAGGCAAAGCCTAAGGGTGAAGTCAAGAGTGGAATCAGCCTAGAGTTGATACGTTCCTACAAGCGATTTAGGTCTAACCACTCTTGAATTATGTTGACCCTTATCTAGTGCCAATATAGTGCTGATGGTATGTACATAAGCATAAGCAATAAATGATCCCACCTAAAACTTCATGTATGGTCCTGATTCTTTGCACCCGACACACTGGTGGGATAAAGCTTTCGGTCCCAAAGGCTATTGAAGTGGATTTCTTCCTCAGTTTTCCAGAGCTCTTTTGGCAATTAATAGTTACCTTGTCACAAAGCTACTTACTAGCAGGACTAAGGGAGGGCAACCTATCAGTGCAATAGCAGTGGAAAGTTTCCGCTTGGTGCCACCGCTGTATGTTCCTGCCAACTGATCCGCATCTTGCGACAGATCAAGTTTCTGAATTCCCCACTCTGCCACCTGTGGAAAAAGAAATCAAGATCTTGACATCTATGTAAAATGTTGAGGTTTTAATTCAGTCCATTATACGGATTTATATTTGGGACTCTCACAAAACGGCCTACCCCAATCTGGTACCAAAGCTACAATCATAATCTGGAGGACATCAGATTACAGAAAGTAGTCATAAAGGATGCTTCAAAGGGAAGCTCATGTCCTTTAGCATTAGCAATCTCTGGTATGCCTTATATACATGTTGAATTAGTATCATGTTATGGTAATATTCCACAGGAAAAGGAGTAAGAGGGACAGAAGAAAGTCATAGAAGAGAAGAGAATGAAGCTGGAGCTGAACAATAGAACTAACATTGGAGCACTTCCAAATGATATTTATATAGATATGCATCTCACACATGATTTTAGGGACGAGATTGCCAAAATCTAATGGGCTTTGAAACAATTTATGTCTTTATTCTGGACACCCATGATACCATGTAATGGTGCCCACTATCTGAAGAAATTGTTGATCCTCCCACCAAGCCATAAACAGTGGGGAGTTTCATCATCATGCTTAGCTAAAACCAGACAAACCACATGATGGTTTAATGAGAAGGATTTTACCATCTTGCAATGAGTGCTGAAAGACTTCAGCCCATGCACTTCACACTGCCAGATTCATATTTTTTTATTTGCAGTATACATACACATGTATGAATCTTTTACTCTAACTGAAAGGTATTGCCATAGCATTTACTGTGCTCACCCCAACCTGATGCAACACCAACACATGTGTAACAGTTACTGTGAATACACAGTGCTATACCTTGAGCTAGCCCTACTGCAAGCTCAGGAAAGAACAACTCCATTACTTTAAGTTTCATGTGTGCACATTTGAAAATATACTCTGTAGACTGAAGAACCTGTTTTGTAGTTTGATCTCACCATGTGCAAGACTGCTACTTAGAAATAGAAACAATAGCAGTGCAGTGTGCAGAGCCAAAAAGACAGTGCAATTTATATAGGTTAGTGCATTTTTAAAAAAAGTTTAATATGAATCAATACGAGCCATTGTTCTAGCAAGAGCCATCTTTCTGAATATATATCTTTAGATGTAGCCCAAACATGCACTGAAAACAAAGAATAATTATCCCTACCCTCTCAACTTCAGCTTCTGGAACACCGCGCAGACGGGCATAGAGAAACAAATGTTCTCTTCCTGTCAGTAGTTCATCAATAGCATCGAATTGTGGGCAATAGCCCATGTTTTGGTGAACATCCCAGATTTGGGTCAATATGCTAGCAAAGTGAAAGTGATAAAAGAAAAAAAAGAAAAAATCTTTACAGAGCCAGATTTAATCAGCAGAGTAACTTTAGAGAGAAAAAATATCCAGCTAAAGTATAACAATTTTATAAAATAATATCTTGTAATTAAAAGTTTAAAGTAACACATTAAGAAATCGATTAAAATAAATCAAGTTAAATGCCTGTTCATTAAAGCTTGCCTGATTATTCAAAATGGCCTTACATTAAAATAAAAACACAGATTAAAATATTATTCACTTATATGATGAAATAAGACAACTAAAGATACACCTTCTGGAAATAATGCAGATACAGCACTTTGTTCTTCTAGCTGCACAGAATTATATCCTTTGCAAACAATACAAAGTTGAGTACACACTAAATTTTAAAATGATATTCCTATCCACTATAATGTTTCAAATACTCACGATAGTGTAGGCTCATATCTCTGTAGGCAGAACAGACAACTTCAGGATTATGTACAGACCATACATGGGGTGTGTGTGCATGGAACGCTGTTACTTTCCCACCAAAATGGTACCTGTTTATCTACTCACATTTGCATGCTTTCGAACTGCTAGGTGGGCAGGAGCTGGGCAAATAACAGGAGCTCACTCTGTTGCACAGCGCTCAGGTCTTGAATTAATTGAATTAATTGAATTGAATTAATTGATTACTGTACGATTGCCATTGACCATGCCAGCCAAAAACTCCAAACCAAAACAAAAGAAAAATATCTCTACCAATGACCTCCCAGACTCCTGCACGTGTTTCAAATGTCTTGAAACCATCAATGAAAGTGAAATTTACATCAAATGCCACCTATGCGATAATCTAGCCCACCCTGCCTGCTTAAACGCAAACAAAAGCCTAGATGATATGGTTAAAAATTCAGACACATTATTTTATCTATGTCCATCATGTTCTCCTAAGCTAAACAAACTGAGTGCCCTACCTGACAGAGTTGAAAGCATAGAATCACTCATTCGCTCAACAGAAGAACGCTTAGCAACACATTTTGAAACGACTATACAAGCAAGCCTAATTTCTCTTGGAAAAAAAATACAACACTGATAAACGACTACCTATCAGCTCAAAATCAAATCCCACAACAACCACAACCACTACCTCAACTACAATCACAACTACAACCAAAAATAACCACCAAACCACAGTCACAAACAATTACTATCCCTTCAAATAATTCCACAAATAATATCTCCTTACTCATCAGAGACACCATGGAATGTGAACAGAAACATCCAAATGCCATCTTATTTGGTCTCGAAGACACCAACGAATCAGATGACATCACCAAAGTTCGTGATATCATAAGCAACTCAAATACAACAAACATCTCTCCTGAAGATATCATTGAAATAACCAGAGATGGCCATGGGTACAAATACAATGACGGCTTTGTGGCCCCAAGATTTTGTAGAGTTGTATGCAAAAATGAGTCCAGCAAATGCATATTCATTCATACAATAAATGCCATTGCAAAAACCAGTCCCAACCACAAAAAACTTCGCTCAAGACCAGACTTATCCATACTGCAAAGAATCCGCTCCCGTGAACTCTGCAATGAACTCAAAAACCATCTAGACAATGGAGAAAAGGACCTATACATTGACTACAGAGCTGATTGCATCAAAAGAAAGTCACACAACCCACAACTCCGCATCCAACCCGACCCCATCCAATCCAACATCACTCAAAACTAGGCATGCACGCTCCTAACTACTTCTATTCCAACCACAACTGGCCTTAAATGCAAGCTACTCAATGCAAGAAGCCTTGTAAATAAAATACCTGAATTTCTCCTCTTACTAAATACAGCTAAATTCAACATTATATTTGTCTGTGAAACATGGCCCAACGCATCTCTCCCTGACTCCATTACCACAGTAAGAGACTATCATGTTTACTGATCAGATCCTGAAATCCATAGAGGAGGTGGTGTTGCTATCTTCTATAAAAAAATCCCTACATCTAAAAAACATCCAAGTTACCCAGGAGCTTGCTATTCCTGAGACCATCGTCTGTGAACTGTCCTTAAATATCACATTTCAGTTCTTATTATGTTACAGAGTCCCTGATTATGACATCGAACATGCAAACAAGTTAAATACACTACTAACATGGGTAGCATCCTGCCCACACGCTTTTATCTTTCTTGGTGACTTCAATCTACCTCATATTAACTGGAACCTTACAAATGTACAACTGAACCCACAAATGCAATCTTCTACAATGCAGTAACAAATCTGGGACTAGAACAACTAGTAACCAACAACGCTAGACTTAACAACTGCCTCGATCTCATCTTCTGCAATAGTTTGAATTCAATTTACGGAATACAAATTAAAGAACCATTTTCCAACAGTGATCACAACATGATTGACTTTTGCCTCAACATACGTCCGCACAAAAATCATCACAATGACAGAATCCCCAATTATAACTTCAAAAAAGGCAACTATGATCTTATAAACAACGATCTCTCATCCCTTGATTGGCAATTTCTATTCTCTGGATGCAATACTGTAGAAGACCATTGCAACATATTTTTACTTGAAGTCAAAAGAGTCATCAAACTATATGTACCATTAACAACTCCCAAAACCAGAAAAAACACATTACCCAAAACAATAAGGAAGTTTCAATCCAAAAAGAAATCATTTTGGCGGAAAAACAAATCTGGTCACGTTGCCAACTTGAAAAGCCGATACAAAAATTTATGCCACCAGATAAAAACTGAATGCACCAATTATCACATTAAACATGAAGAAAACCTTCAACACACCAATTCCACTCGCGCTTTCTACAATTTTGTAAACAACAAACTAATAGACTTAAGGTCCATCCCACTCCTGAAAGGACCTACTGGTAAAGACTGCAACGGCGACACTATTAAAGCCAACCTCTTTAACACATTCTTTGGCTCAGTATTTGTAAACAGCAATGGATCATGCCCAGTATTTCCTAGTCGAACCACAGACAACTACAATGATCTAATACATATCGATTTTACAGAAGACAATGTTGAAAAAGCACTACGCAATCTAAAACCATCTCTATCTATTGGACCGGATGGAATATGTGCCTACTTCTTAAAAAAGCTACCCACTGCCATAGCCGAACCTCTAAACATAATCTTTGAAAAATCTTTCGGACCAGCTCCTTGCCAAAACTATGGTCACAAGCCACGGTCATCCCCATCTTCAAAAAGGGAGACCCCAGCCTAGTTGAAAATTACAGACCAATCTCTTTATGCTGTGTCACCTGTAAAGTCATGGAATCAATTATTAACCAATCCATCATCCTCCACTTAGAAACAAACAACCTACTCTCTAATAAACAATTTAGTTTTAGGAAAAAACTATTATGCAATCTGCAACTCTTACACTGCAAAAACATATGGACTGCACAACTCGATCAGAGCAAAGCAATAGACACAATCTACATAGACTTCTATAAAGCCTTTGATTCAGTGGTACACGACAAACTACTCCTAAAACTAAAATCTTACATTATCTCTGGACACCTGCATAACTGGATAGAAGCATTCCTGTCAAACAGACAACAAATGGTCAAAATTGGGAGCATCCAATCAAATTCTGTACCTGTCAACAATGGTGTCCCCCAAGGCAGTGTTATAGGACCAACTCTTTTCATACTCTACATAAATGACCTCTTCTGATCATATTAAGAGCAACTGCGTTCTCTTCATTGATGATGTAAAGCTATTCAACACCACAGACAATACTGCTACCCTTCAAAAAGACCTCAACTATGTATCAGAATGGTCAAACAAATGGCAACTTCAAATCTCAACAAATAAATGCTCTGTCCTACATATTGGCAAAAAAAAATCAGAAAATAAAATACAGGCTGAATAGTCAAGACCTTGTTGATGATCCAAGCTCTGTAAATGATCTTGGCGTATTCATCTCAAATGACCTAAGCGCTAGATCCCACTGTAACTACATAGCCAAAAAGGCGTTAAGAGTTGTTAACCTAATCTTACGTAGCTTTTTCTCTGGTAATATTACACTAATAACTAGAGCATACAAAACATTTGTTAGACCAATACTCGAATACAGCTCATCAGTCTGGAACCCACATTATGTATTTGATATTAACACAGTTGAGAAAGTCCAGAAATATTTCACAAGAAGAGTTCTCCACTCCTCTACTTGTTGCAGAATACCTTATGCTACCAGACTCAAAATTCTAGACCTAGAAAACCTAGAACTACGCCACCTTCGGTCTAATCTAAGTATAGTTTATAAAATCATACATTGCAATGTCCTACCAGTCAATTAATACTTCAGCTTCAACCATAACAACACAAGAGCAAACAATAGATACAAACTCAAGGTTAATCGCACCAAACTTGATTGCAGGAAATACGCCTTCAGCAACAGAGTGGTCAATGTCTGGAATACTCTACCTGACTCTGTGGTTTTTTCCCCAAACCCCCAAAACTTTAACCTTAGACTGTCTACTATTGACCTCACCCCTTTCCTAAGAGGTCTGTAGGGGGTGTGCATAAGCGCACCAACGGGCCTACCATCCCTGTCCTATTGTTTCTTTTATATATTTTTATTTTTCTTATATGTATCCATGTATTCATAACTATGTTTTTACTTATACCTATTATCTTGTAAGCAATTGACAAATAAAAAAAATGAAATAAAAATAAATAAATAAAATAAAACCTGAGGCCATTATACAGAGGAATAAGTATTTTCTCCATATCCCTAACAGGAAATAAGGACCTATTGTTAAGGGCAATGTGATGGCAATTACCACTTAGTAGATATAAAGAAACATCTGTGGATCTTTGAGCTCAACTGTTCTGACATTTGTCAGGACTTACCTATGACCAACGACAACAGCATCTCCTGATGTTACTTTAATATCCCCAGTCAGCATTTTGAACGTGGTTGTCTTACCGGCACCATTCACACCCAAGAGACCAAAGCACTAAATTATAATTTAAGACATGCTGGTTATCTCTAGAACTTTACAGGAAAAGAAATAATACAAAATGCATTGCATAACTGAGACATAACCCACCTCTCCTGGACGAACACCAAGACAGAGTCTGTCTACTGCTGGTATACGTCTTCCTGCATATATCTGGAATAAGAATGTTTTCAACAGAAACCCTCATGTGAAGACAGTTGAAGGACATGTGTCATTTAAAGAGGAAAATGCAGCTTCCTCCAACTAGGCAATCGCCAGATACTGTGGACTATTGTTCTTTTGCCCAGTCATGTTGTCACGATCATGGCTAATTGAAAGATAATAGTAACTGTATGCCAAAGCATCTGGATTGTACCGACTGGAGAAAACCAGCACAACACAACAGAGAATAACATGCAAACAATTCACCAAATCAAATATTTACTATTACAGGTAGTCCTTTGACTCATGGCCAGTTATGATGGATCTCCGTAGATGTATTTATGACCCAGTACCCAAGTTCTGGCAGCTGCCCCTCTCTAGTCACATTTACAGCTGTTTGCAGTGCCCTGCAGTCACGTGACAGCATTTTATGACTTTCTGTTTTTGCCAAAAACTGGCATCTGCTTTTAAAGTTTTCAGCAAAACCAGCCCATGGTGAACAATTGGTTTGTTTTACGACCATGATCTTCACTGAACAAATGCCCCCCCAAAAAGAGATTGTAAAATCAGATCAGTCACGTGGGCGAATACCTTTACAACTGCACAACTTTTGACCTTAACGGGCACGATCCATTGCGGTTGCAAGTCGAGGACTACACGCAATAACAAGATAAACAAAAAAACAAAAAAACTATAAACATGCGTTATTTTATATATGGCTCACGTAAAAAAGTATTACAGATATGGCTTCCAGAATAGTGATTTTCATATAATATATGCAATGATATATAATCAGACACAATTGAATGAAGAAATATATATGTGTGTGTGTTAGATCTGAGGTGGATCGGTTCGAATGAGACGCGAGACCATTCTAGTGAGTTCAGCTCTTTATTTAGTGCAAGAATAGTCTGAAGAATACAAGCCACGGCAGCCCTTCATATAGGGCTGGCTCGCGGCTCGGTGGCCAATGGCAGCGCTTTGAATCTCCCGCGATCGGCACAGCCAATCGCGGTAGGTTCTTAGCGCTCCAATCACGGCCGGGGCTTCGACCAATCAGGTCGCTGTCCATCTGGACCAATCAGTTGTGAGGGTTTGGAGTATGCTAATACAGCACAGTGTGTATCTAAATATAGACTGTTATCTTTCTTTACACACTTATCTTGGACCATTTTTTAAAAAAATTTCTTGGGATACCTGCAAACATACGCCAACCGTCCCTGTCCTATTGTTTCTTTTATTTTTCTTATATGTATCCATGTATTCATAACTATGTTTATACTTATACCTATTATCTTGTAAGCAATTGACAAATCAAATCAAATAAAACAATAAAACAAGGCAGATTGCTGAAGACTCCCCAAATTGCAGACTTGTTTCCTGAGAAGCTTCAATCTTATCCATAGTCCAAGTTACAATTAGAGCTGTTTATCGATAAACAGCTCTATTTTGCAAGGATTGAGTTTGATCTTGTTTTAATCCTTCCCGGCCTTCATAACACCGAGGCACTGGCCCCTCCTGGCTGTTTGAGATGCTGGCTCTAATGCTGGCTTTGTTTGAAAGCTGACTCCCCTCCCCCCAAAATTGGAGCAACCACAGTGTTTTCTTTTATATTTTCTTTTTTCTTCTGCACCTGGAGCTAGAGGTAATTTCATTCTTGTATTGATAAGAAGTCCTGTCTCACCTCATCTTCACTAATACACTATTATTTAATAGGCTTTTCAAGACAGAAGTACCTGTCAGATGTGCAGGTCCCCTATAAATAATTTCCTAGACTTGATTTTTTTTTTAAATAGACAACTAGACAGATGCAGGCAAAATGAAATCAGATATGGATGGATGTGTGCCTGTGCAAGCAGCTTATTTTCTTCCTCTTTTATATGGAGTAGAATAATTTGTGTTCTTTCAATTCATTAACTAATGTAATGCACTGCTTGTTCCCAGAGTTTTGAGATCAGCAGATGAGAAGATGGTCACAAGTTGGTTTTAGATCTTTTTTTGAGAGAGAGAAATTGGGGGCTGGAAATGGTAGTGCTGAGGAATCCCCTTTATCGGAAGAAGATAACTGAATGGAATTAGACAGTGTTTACAGATCACGAATAATGAGGCTTAGATGTTGGTTCCTCAGCAGTGAAGTAATAAGGGATTATAATAAAAAAAATATCAGTAGTTAGGACTTAACAACTGTGGAGTCACTTAATAAACATATGTTTAATGATTGCAGCAAAAAGTTGTAAAGCACATGATGACCTGCTTTACAATTGTCATAACTTATGACCATAATGACAGACTCCATTATGGTCATAAATTGAGGAGTACCTGTAATCCCTAACTGCATCGAGGAGCTAACTGTATTTTAGAAATACATACCAATCCTGTACTGGTAATAAGTGACAAATCTACATATCAAGAAAAAAATAAAACTAATAGGTCAGCTCTTCCACATCATACTCAGGAGAAAAGAGATGGGGGAGAAAAAATTGTTACTTCTTGATGTCTAGCAGCAAAATATCCTGGTCACCCCTGAAGTGCCTCAAACAAGTAAGTTTTTCTTAATTGGCTTTTTTTCCCCCAAGGCAAAGTTAAAGGACACAAATATTTTAGAATAACTCCCGAAAAATTACCTTAGCCAATTCCTGCAATTTCAAAATATAGTTTTGGCTACCTCCTTTCATTATTCGCTTCCTTTCTTCTGCAACATCCTCATCTTCTTCCATAATAGGCCCCAGATTATTTTGGAGAAACCTAAAAAACTCAAAATAAGTGAATGGTAATTCAGCTTGTACTTGAAAAGCGGCCTATATAGATCCCATTTTCAAGGCCAATGTAAGCCCAGGCACCTTCCACCCCAACAATGTTCCCTAATTCTTTAAAACAAATTTCAGTATAAGACCTCTGAAGCCAGGAGTTTTTCTACGTACCATCTTGTAGACAAGAAACTGTGTTGTAAAAGAAGATTCAGAATGAAATAGACCACACCCTGCACTGCCAGGGCTAGCATGTGTTTTCCAGCAAAATCCCAGCGCAATGGATTCGAGACACGTTCTTCTCCTTTAGAATGAAACCAACAGAAATGAGTTTGAATGACCCAATGATAAAATATACTTTTTCAGAAACAGAGAATTTCCTCCACCTGTCATTAACTGTTGAGATCCAATTCATGCAGTTGGAGATCAGGAACTGAGTTAGTCTGCCACAGACTGCTGCTTTAAATTTATATACTTCTCTGTGCCACCAAAATGTATCAGATAAAATATTTTTGTTTGCTTTGGATATGAAAATATCAAATTGGTATTTGCATGTGTGTGTGTGTTCTTTTGAAACAAGGGATGCCAAAGCAGGAGGATGGATCTATTCTGGTTAGATTTTAAAGAACCATTTTCTTCTGATTTTCCTCTTTATCTGTCTGGCTATATTTTTTGATGTGCATCCCAGGGTCCAGAATAGGCCGCCAGGACAAAAGCAGGGCAGAAGATTGGGAAAGGAGATGTGTAGACAACCAAACTGTGCAACATCTTCTGCAGGCACTTATCTCTGAGGCTGGATATGGCCAGGTAAAGGGGGTGCTTGTTCTTGAGTAATCTGAGAACCAGATTTTAGGTCTATCCATCTGTTAAAACTCTGAGGAGTTGTCTCACCCCAATGGGATTTGCCCATTTCACTCGCTCTAGCAGAAGAGCCCGACGTTGTATCCTGTCTGCCAAACAATTTTGGCTCCAGAAGAAGAGTCTTTTTTCTGATGTGACCCCCACCCTCTGTAATATTGTCCTCTGGAGCTGAGATCTGCCCCTTCCCCAATTCCAGAATAGCCTTAAAACCTGCCTTTGCCCATTCACTTGGGCTTCTATGTTTGGGGTGGGTAATAGGGAGAAGATCCCCATCCTTATGTCACTTGTTCTCTTAGTTTCTTATGTAATCCTATTCACTTTAATCATTTTGCATTATTATTATTATTTTTCACCTTTCTATCGTATTGTGAGTTGCCCAGAATCACGGAAACAATGAGATAGGCAGCATATCAGTTTAATAAATAAAAATAAAGATTCACCTCTTCTTCTAGGGCAGGGGTGGGCAAACTTTTTGGCTCGGGGGCCTCATTGACTTTTAAAATTTGACAGACGGGCCACCACCTGGTGTCGAAATGCCTGTCATTACAAGTCAAAATCAAATGAATGCAATCATTCAATCATTCACATCAAACCTTAATTCTGTACCAATCTTCAGCAGGCCGGATTAAAAAGACCAATGGGCCGGATGTGGCCCGCGGGCCGTAGTTTGCCCACCCCTGTTCTATGGAGAATAATTGGTGGTTGGTTTTCTCTTCTGGCAAGGGACACTAGAGAAATTGACCACTTTCTTTTAAGTTATCCTGTGTGAATCTATGAAGACAGTGCCAGTCAGTGGCCTCATTACTGAGGCAAAATCACGCTCAGCAATGAAAGCAGAGCACACCAGCATAATTTTGTGCCAACTCATGCAGGAAAGAAAATTAATATGGGAAAAAAAGTCCCCCAAGACAAGGGTCTTTCTGTAGCTAGCCTTGAATATTTTATTTCTTAATCAAGATAGGGATTAAGTTGATAAGGATGTTAATGCATCCTTAAGCTAGTGAAAGAAAAATATTTAATTGCCCTGCCCTCAGCTGACAGCTTCCTGTAGGGAAGAAGTATAAAACTGTATACTTAAGCAAGTCTCTGATATTCTACCATCTCTTTCTATTTGAAGGTATCAAATGTCAAGAATGTTTGATGTTTAGTGTAAAAGGGCTCTTGTATATGTTGTCACGATTGCACTTATGAAAGAAGTTGTGCAAATTTGCCAGGTTAGCAACACGACAGATCTCGCATGATGTGTCTTCTCTCTAAATAATTCAGGAAACATCCAAGCACGGTATTACAATATTTCATTCAGAGTTGCTGACCAAGTCATTTCGCATTGAGGGGAAATATTGCTAAGGTCAGCTTCATCTCTCAACATTTCTTCTCTAACTCCCTCCCTTTGGCACTATTTTCTCCAAGGGGAAATTTGATCACTCATCCTGTAGAATGGCTGGTTGTGGAGACTTCCCACTTTTGTTGTTTCTACAAGAAAAAAACAAACACAGTCGGGGAATAATCAACAGTGCCTCAGAGAAAGAGTCCATGCAGAGAGTGGTAAGGACAGCCGAGAAGATTATAGAAAGCTCACTTCCTGTCATTCAGGATACTGCTTATAAGTGCTATGGGCTTAGAGTTCAAAGCATTGTTAGAGACCCCACACAGCCACTTCACAGTCTGTTTCTGTTGATCCCCTCTGGGAGGAGGTTTTGAAGTATCTATAGCAGGACTACCAGATTCTGTAATAGCTTTGTTCCCTATGCCCAATGGTGGGATTCAAATAATTTAACAACTGGTTCTATGCCCTAATGTTTTCTTCCAACAACCAGTTCACTAAACTGCTCAGAAAATTAACAACCAGTTCTCCCGAACTGGTGCGAACTGGCTGAATCCCACACTGCCTACGCCATCCATCTGGTAAACTCGCAAGATTTGTTTCTCTCACCATGTACAAATATACAACCGAACTAGACTGTGTTGTTTCTCCATGTCATATATTTAGATATAGGCATAATTTTGTATTTATTTATTTTGTCGTGTTTATTACAGGTAGAGACCCTTTGAGAGCTGAATGCAACAAAATTTCATTTTAATGTATGCCAATTAGTGTATATTCAAAGTGACAATAAAGTTATTCTAAGTCTAACAGGATGATGGGATTCTCTCTCAGATAGAGGCAGCAACAGGGTTCATAGTAGACAGCTATACAGGCAGGACTGAGGGCTGAGTGAAAATGCTTTTCCTCCTCGATCAAAGCATGGATAAAGTGCAAAAGATGCAAGATAAAGTGCAAGATAAAGTGCAAAAGTGCAGCCTAGCAGCAGTTCATAACTGACTTCAATATAGAGCATCCTAGAACTATCTCCCATCGTTTGATACTTACCAAAACGTGTATACACATCAATCACAGCTTGGTTTATGGCTAAGTCAAGGAGTCCACGACCCAAGCAGAAATGAGGAAAGATCAAAAATATTTTTTTTAATGTTTTGTTGAATTCTAGGAGAGGCTGGAAAAGAAACACAGATGCTAGTCTTGCTCAGATTCACAAGATTCCTCTCTAACTTAAAAAAAAAATGATTGAGACACCAGATGTCAGGTGTGAAAGATCAGGACCACACGTGAGGTTACAATTAAACTGATTTATTACAATTGATGCCTATGCACAGGAATCTAATCAACTAACAGTTACCACTATTTTGGCTCTAGATAAGGTTCACCTGAATTCAAGAGGGATTGGAATTAGTCCATTTGTGGCTACATAGTGACACTGGGCTGATTCCTCTTTTGACCCTATCCTCAGGTTCTGCCACTCCTTCTCCTACTTACATCCTGATTAATAACACCTTTTAATGTGAAGATGTGACAATAGGAAATCAGGAAATCTGGATAACACAAGGTTTTTTTTTTCCAGAGAAAAGGAACATGATGGAACCTAGAAAAGAGATTTCCTCATTTTGCAACATCTCTAAATAATTTTCCAGAATATCTGATTATCTTATGCTGGAACATTTAGACACTGTGCAAAGGTTTGTGAATATCAAATGTTTTCTGATACTTCCCATTGCAGCAGCTGCTCCTTTTAAACTCTCATTATCTCTTAAAACTTATGAAGCGTATATTGAACCATGTCCTGACATAATGGAGCATAGCTAATGTATGGTACTCATTCAAATCGAGCCTAAGAGAAGTCACTCACCGCATTATTTTCAAAGAGGTCCAGAATAAATGTGATGGCACTAGTATTAATACCAATGAAGAGATTAACGCAAGACAAGACAACATAGGCAGTGCTGGGGATGCTAAAATAGCGGGATGCAGGGTACATCATAGGAATTATGGCCCATCTATGTACAGAACAATGGAAACAGAAATGGTATAATTCAATTAATCAAAATATACAGTCATAGCCCCCCCCCACCATAAGGGTGGTATAATAAACAATAAAGTGGTTCAATGGTGAATGAAATATGGCCATGTTGTTACAGACTGTCTTTTGATAAACAAAAAAAGCCATTTTATTATTTATTTGCATAAAGATTCATCCTTCCTGTGTCCCTTTATTATTCAGGCCAGCTGACAAGGAACATTTGAAACCACTCAAAAGATCAGAAATTTTACAAAAGGGATTATTTATTCCTTTATTTATAAATTTATTCGATTTATGTGGTTGCTCATTTGTCATGTGATTTTGGGCAGCTAGTTAGCAATCAGCTAAAAACATCAACAATACAACAGAGCAATTAAAACATGTCACACCAGAGCCAGCTCATATATCCATAACTAACAGACCTTATAAACAACTGGCCACATTAATTATTTGAAGCCAGCTCACCTAACTTAATAAGCCAATGCTGGAGGGAAGAGTGTTAGTCTTCAAGGCCTTATCAAAAACAGGTAAAATTAGGATTATCTGGTTATCATGTTATTCTACAGGTTACAGTGGCAGAGAATGCCCATTTTTTGGATCCCATCAGATGACAATGTTTAATAGAAGGTACCCAGAGCATGCCAGCCCTGGCAGATTGTGTAACATGGGCACAAATAATTGGAGACAAACAGCAAATGACCCAGCACTGTGCCATGAAGGGTTTTATAGATGACAAATAATACCCTGAACTACCTATAGAAACTAAGAATTAGTATAGCTTGCTAAGTAGTAATGTCATATGGTATAGCAAAATGTTCCCATAGCTACCTGTATCACAATATGCAGTGTAGCTTCTAAATAAACTGGAATTTTGTATTAGGCATGACCGCCCAGAGAATGTTGTAAAGCATTATGGGGCAGTATGTAAATCTAAGTACTATAGGGCATGCAGAATTCATTGCATAATTTGGCCTTGAGATGGCCAAGGCATGAATAACTGTAAGCAAGACCTCCTGATCTAGAAATGGTCACAACTGATGCATAAAATGGTTTTGAGCAGGAGCTAAGAATCTAGAGCCGGGGTGTCAAACTCACATCATCACGGCATTGTCACATGACGTATTGGGACTTTTTTCCCCTTCGCTAAAATGGATGTGGGTGTGGCTTGTGGGTGACACATCCAGGCTACAGGCCAGGAGTTTGACAGCCTTGGTCTAGAGCAAGGGTCTTCACATTTAGCAAGGTTAAGACTTGTGGATTTCAACTCCCAGAATTTCTGAGGTAATATGACTGGAGGAGGAATTCTGGGAGTTGAAGTCCACAAGTTTTAAACCTGTCAAGTTTTTAAGACCCCTGGTCTAGAGGATCCCCACACTGGATACCAATTTTGTATGGGGAAGTGGCAACCCAAACTAGAAGTAATGAAAGACCCCAGTGTGGTCCCCATTCATTCAATCTCGTTAACAGGTGAATGTAAGCCCGTTCTTCCCCATCCAGATCTCTACAGCTTCCAATCAATGAGAGAAAACCTTGAGAGCATAACTTCTTGCACCCAGGATGGAAATGTATACCTGGGTATCATCTGCATACCTAACCCCATGCTCACCCAATGGTTAGTCACAAGGTGATTAAAAAGGAATGGGGAGAGAGTTGTGTTCTGTGAATTCAACTCTCTCCCAAAGCATAGCAAACATGAAGCATTATAGAGTAAACCCAGATAGGTAAGAAGATGATGCATTACACAATTATTACCAACTGCCTTGTTCAGCGACCATTACAATAATATAATAGTATGATAGTCATGTGATGTACTTAATAATCCACAGAGATTCACTTAACAACTGTAGCAGAATTGATGTAAGTCCGGCACAGGCACTAAGTTACCGGTCCCCATTGCAGAAGGTTAAGTAGGAACTATTTCTAAAGTTTTTATAAGTAATTAACAAAACTGAATTATTCTAGGAAATAAGCAGGCAAACTGTAGAGTTTTGCAGAATTGATGTAATATGGTGAAAAAAACGGTTTATTGAAACATGTACTAATATTTGTTTCATTTCACATATTTAATGAGACATCTAGATAACTTACCCATATAACAATAGCAATATTATAAGCACAGGAAGATTGGTTGGTGATGTGTATGCTTTCTTTTTGAAACTCATGAATATTGCCACCACTAAGCCAGCACTCATTATATAATTCACCTGGCACAGAGGCAAAGAAAAATACAGTATATATTACATTGAAGAACTATTCAGAAAGATAGCTTTTTGTAAGATAAATAAACAGAGATTAGCTTGTTCTGTCTTACTTGATTTTTTGAAAACAATGTTATATTCTAAAAAAAAAAAAAAAAAGATGGTAGGAAGAAAAACTTGTGGAAAGCTATTTAAGCCATAACTGCCAACAGCATAATTATTGTCCATTCTGGTGACTGGCATCTGGTTGAAAAAGTATATAAAGGGAAGCAAAATAACTCACTATGTCCCAAAGGAAGTTGGTGAACCAGTAAACAAAAAGGCTCACACCACTGACGAACTGGAGATGCTTGGCTTTTGACACTTGTTCTTGGATCAGATATAAGACAAAGCTTGCTGGGATGAAAGACATGGCAAATATCACACAGATGGAAACAACAGCATCTATTGAGGTGGTCAGCCTGTAGTGAGACATACCAAGGACAGCCAATAAGCCAGAACCAAAAGCTGCAAAATTTACTTCTCGTTAGGTTCCCATTTCACCACAAGGTTGACCTTAGGCAGGGTTGATTGTATACCCATTACTGAAGACAAAAGTCCCAGTTCTCCTATTGTTCTGACAGAATCTAATAGTGCTAAACTTTTAACTATGGCTGCATAGTTGAGTTTTTCTCCTGCTTCATTTTACTGGTGTAGAAAGGAATGTGAACCAGTTGTGACTTGGTAAAAGAAATATTGGATTGTTGTTGCAGAGGCAACCATACATTTCCCATCATTCATTCATTTATTGTAAACTGTGTATAAATATAGCAGTTAATATAAGTAGCTTGAGATTGTTTATTGTAAGGGTCCATTTTTGTGTGATGTACAATATGCACTTTTAAAGTACTATTGTATAAATATTTTTAGCTTGCCGACAGACATATTTTTACTAATAAAGGATAATAGTTGTAGCTCTGGGTTGACATGAGGGGTCCTTGGTGCTCTCTGAGCTTGCTTGTTTTCTTACAGTCATTTCATTACCAAACCAGTGTGAGAAGCCCCTCCTCAGAAGAATGAAATATTTTGGGAAATATTTAAAAAGGCAGAATGTTATGTTTCCCTAAAAGAGAAATGGGGAAACATGTTTTTAGAGTCAGAAAGCAGCCCCCCAGTCTTTCTTAGCCCACAGCAGATGCCAGCGTTTAAAGAGATAAAGAGCTTATTGAAAGAGGAAGCCAACTATCTAGATGGCTCTATTCATAAGGAAAACAAATACTACAGGCAGAAATCCATTCAAGACAGGATATTTCAAAACTCCTTGCAGCAGAGTTTGACAGCTAACAAAAGCAGAATGGTAGGATTAGTACAGCAGCCCTTCACCCAAGATCTAGCACAGGACAAAAGCCACTAGCCACAATAGGAATTGCCCAACTCCTTTCAAAACACAAAGTCCTTTCATTGCACAAACCCTCCCCCACAGCAGCATTTCAGAACCTGTATAAAAATCCTGGCGCTCATTTAGCTAATTGTTCAGCTGACCCAGAACTGCACACTGTCTTTGTGCATGGTTCTGTTCATCATTAAACTTTCTTTCCAATCAGCCTCCATTATATTTTATTCCCGGCTTGGACCTGAACCAGATGGATTTTCACCAGGTAACATCATCAGTGCTAGTAAGGAGTAAGACATATTTTTCTAAGCTTTAAGCTGTGGTATCCAGACCTGCTACATATAAGGGAGGGAGGAATAGAATTAAAGCTGCAATTGGAGTGAATTATGAGCCACGGAGGCGCAGTGGTTAGAATGCAGTATTGCAGGCTACTTCTGCTGATCACCGGCTGCCAGCATTTTGGCAGTTCGGATCTCACGGGCTCAAGGTTGACTCAGCCTTCCATCCTTCTGAGGTCGGTAAAATAAGGACCCAGATTGTTGAGGGCAATATGCTGACTCTGTAAACTGCTTAGAGAGGGCTGTAAAGCACTGTGAAGCGGTATATAAGTCTAAGTGCTATTGCTTTTAGAATTTAAAAAGCAAATGAATGTTACCTACACAGTGATTTCAGACAACTGACCCTTAGTGAGGTTCAGTGGATGGTTAATAGCAGTTATTCCATATTCTTCTGGATCCTTATTTTGTTGCAGGTTGGCTCTCAGAATGGCATTGTTGGCTACATTGAGAAAACTGACCATAGCATGCCAGCCTTTATTGTTAAACCACACCTGGAAGAACAATGGAGAAGATTACAAACTTCAGCCAGTCAGAATCCTTTAAAATTCTTATTTTTATCAGGGACAAGCAACAGGTTGGTGCATGCTGCCTAAAGGCTCATGCTGCTAATGACAGCAACTGAACAGCTGTTGTATCTACTTTATTTATTATTACATGCACATTAGTACTCTGGGGTTTTTCGCCATAACAAGTCAGGGCTAATAGTTCCAGGCTTTCAAAAATTTTTTTTTCCTCTAGTTCATACTTCAGCATTTGCTTGTTCCTTGGAATTCAAGGAAAGCTGGAGCTTTTTCCCAGCTTTTTTTTTTCTTTCTTCCTGTCTTTCTTCAGTTTTTAATATTTAAACAGCAAAAGTCAAACTTTCTTTTTTCTCTTTTTTTGGGTTCGAATAACAACAATACGTTAATGTGCATGTATAGGGAGTGCTGAAAATGCTTTGCAGAAGTTTAATCACTTTTTTTTTTCTGAGAAACTCATATCCTTCTAAATAGGCCTGCTGATCTGAGTGAAAGTATCTAGACAAACATTACATGGAAGCAAAAAAATAATAATTTCTGTATCACTTTGCTCCCATCTAGTGATCACCATACGATTGGCTTATATTAAAGAACAATTACAGAACTACACCATATCCATTGAAGCTTTCTCTTACAGAAAGCTTCAATGGATATGCTTACACAAGTGGTACATACAACTGTAATGCAGCCAGCCCATTACAGTCATATTTCATAAAGGTTGTAAAACAGGTCGATATACCTTTTCTTGTTCTATTCACTCTTCTATTTCCTTACTAAAAGGCAAACATCTCAATCAAATAATAACAAAATTTATTCTCTTTACATTAATGCTCCTTTACTGAACTTACTGTTCAATGCTCAAGTTATACAAGATTTTATGAAAATAACTATTAAAATACCTTAATATTGTGTTCAGTTTCCATATATTTAAGAAAAGCTGACATTTCTTTAGCAGCAATCCTTGTTTTTTCACCCTAGACAGCAGAAAACAAAGGTTCAGAATTCCTTGTTTATATTTTAGTGTTACAAATACTAAAGAAATTGTTAGATTTGGTGATAATCAAGTGACAAAGCAGATGCAAGAGTTCTTTCTTACCCCTGTTATATTCATCATTCGACCAACGTCCTTCATAAAATCAACAATTTGATCTCCAGTAATATGCAGTATTGGAAGTTTGCCTCCAATTGAAATTCCTCCATATCTATAAACAAGATTACATAATCTTCAGTTCTATGAAGGAAACCATACTCCACTTTTAATAGATAATGAACACAATAAAAGTTCCCTTCAACATAATTATACAGTACCTCTCTCCCAAAAAGGAATATGTCTATGGAGATTCTCAGTCCTCCAGGTCATAGTTGACTCAAAAGTGCTTTTTGAAAAGACAACTGGACTATTTTTATTGAGGAAGAAGAAGACATTTCGGTTCTCATCCAAGAAGCTTCATCTGAAGAAATGAAATCTCTTCTTCCTCAATAAAAAATAGTCTAGTTGCCTTTTCAAAAAGCACCTTTGAGACAAAAAGGAATATGATTCTCATTTTTCATTGTTGATAGTGAATTGCACAAACAAAATAAATCCAGAAAGCCCTCAGCTAATGACCCTGACTGGAACTGGCAAGTCTGCCACTAAACGAAGCAGTCATTAAGTGGGAAATCTCATGACTATGTTTCCTGGCTGGAAAGAGACATGACTAGTCAATATCACAGCTTTGGCTTTTCTTTGCCTCCTAACCACTTGCCTGCCCTTAGGAATGCTGAAATATCGATAAGCTGTTTATGGAGCATGTCTGTGGCTCACAGGACTGGGCTGCTGGCATGATTTCATTGCTTTCAATGTGTAGAAGAGCAGTTTATTCTCTTGCAAACCCTTTCTCTCCAATCTCTTCTCTGCTCTGCGAGATGGATTAGACAGATTAGGGGCATTGAACAGTACTGTAATGGTGGTCACACGATTAAGAAATGCTGCAAAGGTCATAAATGGGCTATAAAATTATTTTTTCAGCACTGTTACATTTTTGAATAGTCACTGAACAAAGTGAGGGCTATTTGTATTGTTTCCAAACCTAGCATAGCCCTCTACTTGTATTTCAGACAAAATAATACTGATTAGGCCTATCCTATTATTTGTCATTTATTTGAAATCAAATTCTTTAGATTTAAAGAAATAAACAAAAGATATACAACACATAGGTGTCCTACCTTTGCTCATGGACCCAATATTTACTTTTTAATCTGCCAAGGAAAATAAAAAATATATTAAAAATGTAATAACCTTTAATATACTGCATTAATTAAAATGCTTTCGGATACAAAATTATGTCTGTGCCATGAGGATAAGTTTGGGGGGTTTGTAGCTATTCTGCTGACTGAGATGACACTTTAGAAATTTATAAGCCTCTTCAGTGATTGGTGAAAAGGATGAGTCTATGCAGTCTGTACACTTAATCCCTGTTCCTGACCACTATTTGTTCATCCGACCTGCACAGAAGCTATGAAAGTACAAGTTATAGACAATAATTCTTTGATGTGTATTTTGCTCAGTTCTTTTTCTGTGCAAATATACACAATCTAACCTGGGTTGTTGTTGCTTTTTTAACAATAAAAAAACAATTAGACAAAAGGCAAAAGTTTATTATGGCCAGAAGCCAGCATAACAGACAAATAAATGTGTATACAGGGAGGGCGGGGAACTAGCAAGGATTACATGGGTGGAACTTTATCATTTAGAAGTGTCTTTGATGGCACTGTTGAAGCTGAGTAGCAAAACACAGCACCACTACAGGTGGTCCAAACGTTTTTGTTAGCTAGTAGGAAAGCTACATAATAAGCACCTGAGTGCTCTGGAATTGTAGCATAAACCCTAATAAAAATTGCTTTGTAACAGCACATGTGTGATAGTTTCAATTTCCTTCATGCCTCAAGGCCAGAGGATAGCATTGTATTTCCAGACCAAGAATGCAGAGGGAAGATTGTTGAAAGTGCAAAGGTGAAAGCCCAGCAATACTTTATTGTATTTATTGTAATAATAAACTTATTAATGTAATAAAAAGCATTGTGAGCATTGTAACAATAATCCCTTTCATTTAAAAAAAACAGGTACTGGATTAGCTTTGATTATATTACTGTATTTATTTCTTTATAGCATACAACCTCCTCTTTTTAATATCATGGAGACAGGGCAGAAAAATAATATTCTGCCATGGCATATTTGTATTATGGTTAGATGCAACTGAACCTCCCACCCCTGGCAAAAAACTGAACAGCTGACTTGTTATTCAGAAGTCTTAGGACCATATCAACAATCCATTCATACAAACTGCTACAGGTTCCTAGCTAGAATCATTCATCACACAAAGCTATTGTATAATTTCTTTTTTTACTAGTTTTATGTGGGAACCTGCCATTACAGTTTAGTGTTATGTGCCAATACAGCTTCTGAATTTGAAAATGTATAAATAGAAAAGTCCCAACCAACCTGCTTCTTATTAGGGTGGGGTATGTTTTCACCAAGAAATCAGAAATATTTCGGTAAGTGAGATCCTGAAGAATTTCTGTACTATGCTGAACCCTCTATAAGATGAAGAAAATACTCATTAAATTCTTTGTGGTTATAATTTAGTATTTCTGAGATTCAGAGGCAAGAAAAGATCTCATAGGAAAGTTTTAGATTAAAATAAGTGGTTTTTCTTACTGGAACCTGAAAGCTGCCTTGTCTTTCTTTGGGATTTTATTTGTGTGTTTTGATCTCAAGCCACATAAAATAACTATAAACCACACTGGATTTGCTGAATGCTTCAAAAGATTTGTAAGCAGGGAGCTAAAAATGTTGGCAGCTGACATTTATAGCCTGACTTTTACTATAAGACAGCTACAAAGATTTAAACACATATACACATTTGTAATTTTAGAAAATAAATACAAAAGTCTTGCAGCACTTTAAAGTCTAATAAGTTTAATGAAACAGTCTGTGAGTTACAAAATCTTATTCAATAATTGCTTAATCTTTTAAGTGCCAAAAGACTCTTCATATTTTCTGTAATTTTAAATGAACACATTTCTTTTTAGATTGAGATAATTGAGTAAACATACAATTCTTTTGTAGCTAGCAAGTAAAATTCATGAAGAATGTGAATTTAACCACTGAGGGGCAGTGTTGCTTTCCCATAGCAAAGGTATGGGAATTTTATAACCTATCCAATAAGCTTTGGCAAAGCAGTCTGGAAATAGTTTCCTAATACATGCCTGTTTTCTAGAAAGAACAATTTATTTCCTTATGAATTTTCACTGACAAGCTAAACAAAATCTCTGTGTACCTTTAAAAAACCCTTATGTTCAAAATTACCATTACTGATACCCTTTTATTACAGTTTATCATATCTTCAGTCTTTTCCAACCTGGATTCATTCTGGATGAAATGAGTAACAGGACTTCTGAGAACTTTAGTTCCTAGGCTGGGAAAGTCCCATGATACTTACAATTCCTAAAATGTTCTTTGTCCCTTCTGAACTGGAGTCTTGAAAAGTATTCTAAATTCTATATTAATGTACAATACTACTTTAGATGCGATCAGAGTAGTATAATTAATATTATCAGGTCTTCTCTACTTCTGTGCTGCCATCTAGAGCTCATCCAGTTTTTGCAGCTGAGTAGCCCCTAACTTAATGTTCTGTTTTTCCTTAAAAAATACATCCCCAAAACATTTAAAGGTTTCTAAAACTATTTCTGTAAAGTACAATCAGCCCAGAGGATTTTGTTACTTTACTTTATTGATTAATGGTCAAAGACAAAAACAAAAGAAAGCAAAACTTGTAGTAATTAAGGTGCTGGATCAGAAGTAGGGAGATCCAGGTTCAAGTCTGCCATTAATCATTCAGCCATTTCCATTAATCAGGGACACTCTCCCTGTGGTGAGAAACTTTGGGCCAAAAACTCTAGTGCAGCTCAGTCACAGGCACACCATGAAGGGTGAGAGGATCAAGAAGACAATGTAAAAATGAATGTTGCTGAGTTCCTAATATCCATATATTAGGATGTTGCATAGATATGGAAAAGAAGCTGAATTTATGTCACAATAGAACAATGCTCATTTTTTAAGGATAATATCACATTCCTGCAGACTCCTCATGGTGAATTGTTGAGAGAGAAAAAATAAAGAGGAAAGAAAACAGCACATGCCAATCTAAAATACTGAAAGAATGATGGAATATAAACAAAACAAACTTCTAATTATTGGGATGATTTACAATGAAAACATGAATATATTTAACACTATATCATTCGTTATATCATTTGCAAAATTGCTAATTCTTCCATATCAATATATCTGAATATGTTGTCCAGATCTTGCCTCCCCACTATTAATGTAATTCAACAAACGTCACAGTGCTTCATGTTAGTAGTTGATACTCAAACAGTACCTGTGGTGGAGGAAGACCTCCCGCTCCCAGTGGACACTCTGGTAGCATAGTGAGTTTCTTCCTAGTGCTGCATTCACAAGCAGGTGAGGGGTTGTCAGGACTCCATGTGTTAGTCCGAAAAAGGGCAGACACGCGATAAGGGATAGTTGGTGTCCTCCAGGCCATTGATGTAGCAATGCAAGAGTAGTTACTATGCAGGGATTCAAAACCCAGTGAAAACATCAAAGTGATCACATATGATCTTGCAAAATTATTGAATGTATACCTCTGGTAACAGGACCAAAAATTCAAGGGAATGCCTCCTAAGTATTCTTCAAACAGAAACAAATGACACTTTGTTTTCCTCATCGCAAGCCTGTGGATTTTTTTTTTTTACATGGCTTCATATAGAAGCCATATAAAAATAATTTAATCTAATTTCATACCTAAACATTAAACTTCAATTACATTTTACTTAAATTTATATTTAAATACAATTAATATCATTACCTGATGTTTCTGTTACATTAAAAATTACAAACTTTTGGAGGTCCCTAGGGAGAGTGTTCACGGTTTTTCAGAGACTACATACAATCATAGAGTTTGAAGGTCATCTACTCTCTACTTTCTGATCAATACAGATGCAATCCATCCATCTCTGACTGATGACTATACTGTGTCTGAAAACCTCTACCTGACCCTGGGGACATAGGTTGGGCATCTCCGATTTATAAGGTGACTTTCCTCTGATTTATAAGGAGAGTAACTGAGGAAACTATTTCCTTGAACCTTTAGACTTATTTAACTGCTTTATTAAACATCAATATAAATAACCAAAGTGTCTTCCTCTTAACCACCTCCCCAAATTAGACTAATGGATGCCATATAATTACTAGTAAAACTGTTTGTTTTAGTGTATCTAGGCAAGGCCCATTAAAAAAACACACACACAAATGATAATACCTGATTTTACATATCCCATAGAATAGTTTGTTTTGTGCTTAGCACCAACTGTAAACCTAGAAGGTTTACAAACTGTAAATATATGGTGAACTCTGAAACTATGTTGGTTGGTGTTCACATTTTAGGTTTCCACTATGTTAACATCCAGGTCTTTTTCACTTCATATTTTGTTTTATCCTTTGATGCCACTGTCAACTTTCCATTTTCCTCAAATCACTACTTCTACTCAAAGTTTAGAAGGCAAACCTTTCTGGGCTTATCACCCTCCTGTTTATTCCTATGTATTATGGCTGATTGCCAAAACAAAATAATTAAAACAAAATGCTGACTCTGATGGTGGCAGGAGGACATCAAAAAGCAAGATAACTTTCACTATTTTTAATCTATGTAGGCTGAAATTCCTTACGCCAGATGCAATACAAAATTCCATATCTTGGAAGACAATGCAAAGAGAAAATGAACAGATAGAAAGAGAAGTAGAAAACAAACACTTAGACAAACTATCTCCAAGATGTTGCCTTCCAGATTTGTTAGCACTCAGATTGTAGAAGTTACAGCCAGCATGGACATCAGCTTATTTAGATCCATTTTTGTATACATTTAATTATAAACCCACTTAAACTGGATAGTTTTATTTCTAATAGATAGGCACATGGATGAAGAAGAAGTAACTCAAGTGAACCTAGCCAGATTTTCTTAATGTTGTTTCTTGTTTGTAAACAATCTCGACAGACCGATCAATTAAAATAATAGCTGTACAATCCTTATTTTGTTACACATTAATAAAATATTTATAAACAAGTGTTTTAATCTCACCACCCTATTTCTTTCTCAATGCAGTTCTTCTATCTGGAGTCTTGCATCACAGATTGGAAAAGCAACCCAAAGAGGCTGTAATGCTATAGGTAAGGCAATCAGCAATCATCGGGGGATAAGGATATAGCGTAGAAGATAAGTTCCACATTTAGTCAGTGATAGAGATCAGTGGGACTTAATCTGGTTGTGATTAACTTAAATCTCTTTCATTCCATTGAGTCTAATTTAAAATCGTCTATTGTTCCATAGGCTCTTGCTTAATGTTGTGGGATGAAGGGACTTTATCTTGTTAAAACTTCAGTAATAGTATAGGAACTTTATAACTGGAAAGAGACAGAGAGTGAGAGAGAAAAAATGAACTTACTAAAGGGGTTCTCTCTTCAAGCAACGATTTCCAAATCCTGGTTTCTTTAAAAAGGCATCACGAAGAGAAACCATATGTTCACTGTCAGGCTGTTCATTGCTAATGAGATTATAATTTAGATTATAAAAAGAGATTAACTACAGAAAAGTACAACTGCAAATAAAAATTAGCAGAATCACTGCAGATATTACTAACTACTCAATTTTAAAAGAAGCCTATACGTTTCATAAAGATTACTATTTTTTTAAAAAATTACACTGTTGTTTGCTACAGTTTCTAATTGCTAATTTCTCAAAGACACGATAAGCAAAGACATTCATGCATAGTCCTGGTTAACAAATGGAAAATAGTTTTATATAAAAGGGAAGATCGTAGAACACTTATGGCTGAACATTTGCAATTCACAAAGCTTGCTTATCCAACACTTTTCTGATTCAGTCTAATGCTATTGCTTTGTTTTGTGCTATCAAGTAAGTGTGGACTCTTAGTAACAACATGGAAGACTTTTTCCGGAATTTTCTGTTCCCGAGTTTCATTCATCAACACTGTAATCAAGTCTGTTCTCCATGTTCCTGGTACTAGACTTAGGCCAACGCAATATCATATCTCAACAAAGTGAAAAATTTTTATTTAGTTATGAGTAACCCTTCTTTCTGGAAAACTACTCAATATCCATATAATTCATGGGTCAGGAACAGATTGTAATCCATCAAAACTCTAATTACTTCATTTTTCTTTGTATATTAAAAAAGAGGCTGCTCCTTTCTCCATATATTAAGAGAAATTTAAAAAAAAATCCTGACAAGTGAAACTCTGAGTTTGGAGTGGGGGAATCTCCTGAAACTCAGTATATCTAGTCTTTGAAAACTGAGATGATGAATCTCATAAGTGATATTTAGCAATGATGCAAATAGTGAATATTTGCATATATATATATATATATATATGATCTCCAATGAATGGTGAAGTTTAGCTAATCTTATCTGATCTTAAAAGTTAATCGGGGTCAGATCACATCAGAATACAGATGGGGGTACATCAGAAAACCCCACAATTATATGTAAGGCTACTGTTAAAGTCAAAAATAATGTAGAAAAAGGCAACAGCAACGAAGAGTTGCTCAGAAAATTACATGAATTTGCCCATGAAATCACGAGGAATCAAATTAAATAATTAAATAATTAAATAATATGTATTGTATTCACCATTTATAAAATTGTGTTATGTTGTATCAGGTTAAGCAATTACATTAATGTATCACAATAATCAGAACTGGCTCCCATCAGTTTTTAGTACAGTTAAAATAAAAATATTTTTTAAAAAGAAAGAAGAACAATAATCAATAAAAGTGTAATATGTTTATGATTATATGGTCTGGTCATACATGACAAAGATTCCATTCATTTAGGCATTCCTTATCTACAGAATTTCAGTATCTCACAGTTTAGCTACGTAGAGAAATATGTTCAAGAACAAAGCAAAGTCAACAATAGATATGGACTTGTTTAAAACAGAAATCTAAAAAATAATATCTTAGAGAAAGTACTGAATTAACGAGCATCGGTGCTAACCAGAATGTAGGAAACATCAAAGACAAGATTACTTCAAAAATAAACATACTAAGGAATCCTCTGACCTGAAGAAAGTAAATTGATGTCCATAGATCCAAGGATGGAGGGTTAGACTGGGATATTCACCAAATGGAGGGATGATGTCTGTAAGTATCAGAGCCAGCAACACAAAACTAGCAGGTAGAACAATCTGCCAGCAATAGGGAATATGTCAAATACCTGCTGTCACACAGTATCCTATTAATAGCAATAGCACTTAGACTTATATACTGCCCCACAGTGCTTTACAGTCCTCTCTAAGCAGTTTACAGAGTTAGCATGTTGCCCCCAACAATCTGGGCCTTCATTTTACCGACTTCAGAAGGATGGAAGGCTGAGTCAACCTTGAGCCGGTGAGAATCGAACTCTTGGCTGTGGGCAGAGTTAGCCTGCAATATTGCATTCTAACCACTAATGTCTATGTCCCATTCAGATATAAGACACAAGAAGATCCAGAGTGGATATCTGTGCTGGAAATTTATCTGGTTATAATTCATATTAAAAAATGTGGTTATACAATAAATCTCAATTTCTACATTTTTTAAATCCTAAATGAGAAGTTCTTACTAACATATAAGATAAGACTAAAAAAAGCCTAGGCAGCTGCATTGTTTAATCTAGTTGCTGCCCAGTGGCTTTCTAAGCTTTTGGATAGACTTTCCTGGAGGTGGAACCACTGTATGGAGAATATGTGCAAACTATTACCAAACTCTCCAGGATATAAATACCTAGCCAAAAGAGTGTTCTATCTAAGCTATGTACGTGTGGTATAATTCTCACTCTTTTTATTCATTTGTTATATTTACATCCAACTTTTCTTCTTGGAGTTCAAGGCAGACTATTTCCTTTCACTTTATTTTCACAACAATAACCCTGCAAAGTAGGTTAGTTTCAGAGAGAGTACAAAGGGTCCAAAAGCCCCTTGTGAGCTCCATGTTTGGGTGGGACTTGAATCAGGATCTTTTTGATCCCAGCCCAACATCTTAATCACTGAATACTTAACATACCAAAAGGGATAGTTGATTCTACAATGTAGGACTCTGGACTTTCCAGTTACAGTAGAACTATAATAAACATCTTCAATATACGTCATTTGGGGGAAAAATTAGTAAGCATGCACCTGAGCCAAGAAGTCTTTAATACTACGGGTGGTATGATGGAAACGTTTGATGAGAAGAGCTTTAATCTGCTGAAGAATAAGTTGTCCACCTTTATTTTGCCAAGATCCTTTGCCATCACTCTTATCTCCTTCCAGAGAAGTACAGTTGTTTGCTGAAGCTCTTTGGGGGTCTCCCTCTTTGGCCTCAGCAGAAGCATTCTCCTGGACAGCTCCTGGATTTTACAAATCAGAATGCCCATGCCGGTTTTGTTCAGGGCACAATGAAAAAACATTTTATTCCCACAAGTCAAGAGATCCATTTATTTCTTCAAGACTGAAGTTTAGACATAACAATAGATTTTTAAAATATTAACATCAATCTGTGAACTGTCTTTACGGGTAATCCTCACCTTACAACCATTTATCTAGTGACTGAAGTTACAACCAGATTGAAAAACTGACTTACGCCTGGTCCTCCACTCACATCCATTGCAGCATTCCTCACAGTCATGTGATCAACACTTAGGCACTTGGCAACCAACATGTATTTACAAGAGTTGCAACGTTCCAGGATCATGGGATCACATTTGAAACCTTCCGAGTTGACTTCCAAAAAAGTCAATGGGGGAAAGCTAGTTTTGTTTAATGACCGTGTGGTACACCTTAACAACTGCAGTGATTCAATAAACAACTGTAGCACAAAAGGTCACAAATTTGGGTCCAACTCACTTAACAAATGCCTTGCCTTGCTTACCAACAAAAATTCTGATCCCAATTGTCATAGGTCAAGGATATATAATACCCAGTCAATTCACAATGTAGAAATGGATGCCTGATCCCAATTTTTGCAAGTCAATTAAAATATGGGAGACTTTTCATATAAACTTTGGTTTTCAGAGACTTGATCATGGGATGCATACCTGTATTGGGTATTTCAAGGTCAGCTTCAGCTGTAACCTTCAAGAAAACCTGAAAGACAGGTGCATGAGAAGATGCTGTCTGGAAGCAAAGTAAGCACTGACATCTTTAGGCATATCCTTTCCCTCCACCCCAATGTAACACAATGCAACACAAATATTGCTCCTCTCATTTTATTTTTAATTAATGTTAAAAAACAAAATAATCTAAAAAAATCAGGGTAATAGGAAGAAATATACTAACTATAGTACTAAGTTAGTATAGGATTATACTAATTATCCCATCTTTATCCCCTTCACTTTGTATCTTTATTCTGGTGTGTTCAGATGTGTTAAATTACAACTCCTATCTTCCCATCAGACAGTTCTAATTTAATAGTTACTACTCTAGTAATATTTGTTATTACAATGCAGGAAAAAAAATCACTGCCCTATAGAAATGATTTCTACCTCTCCAAAAACTCAAACATCTGCTTAATATCAGCAGGTGATTTTACAATTTAGTTTGGAGCATTCATCCAAAATAGGAAAGCAAAGACTGCACAAAAGTAAACTGCCTAAATATCTGAAGACTACCAACCTCTTCAAGTGGTGTATCTGAGATCCCAAAACTGCTGAGTCCCACGTCAGCCAAGGTTTCTTCTAATTCTCTGAAAAGACTGGAATAGGCTCGTTCTTTAAAATTCTTATTAGGCAGAAGATAGACAAGTTCCTGACCAATGTTTTCAATTAACTGTGCTTCTGGAACATGATGGTGGACAATTTCATTTAGTTCATTCACATTACCTAGTTCAGGAAATAAATAAAGTGAATTATTTATAACAGTATTATTTATAATTAGATCTATAAAAGGAGGTGAGAGAACTTGGTGCTCTCTGAACTTGATTGTTTGCTTGCTGGCATTTCATTATCGAAGTAACTTTGTTAATGCTATGTGGGAGGGTCTACTACCTGTTTATTTACTGTAGCTTGCCCTGCCAGTTCTGGGGCAGGTATAGTTTTCTCCTTAGTAGTCATTTGTTTAGGATATTGTTTTCTGCTTGATTGCAACCCCCCTCTCAAAACGGGTAGGGTAAGTTTCTGTATAGAGTATAAAAAGGGAGCAGACTCCATACTCATTCACATGGATGATGTTATCTAGTTGGGTAATGAAATGTCTGACAGCAATCAAGCAAGTTCAATTCTGAGCTACATATATATTCTCTTCTATAGGGAGTTGAGAGAGAATAGCCATTTCATTCTGTTCGCTATGACCCTTGTGGCTCAGTCAAATATATTTCAAGGATCACATTATCAAGTATTTTGTTTGTTTGTCTATTTATTTAATATCCTGCCTTTATTTTATTTACAAATAACTCAAAGTAGCGTATGTATCCAATACATTTTCCTCTTCTTTTCCCCACAACTCTGTGAAGTGAGTTGGGCTGAGAAAGAGTGATTAAAAGTCACCCAGCTGGTTTTCATGGCTAAGGTGAGACTATAAGTCACAACCTCCTGTTTTCTAGCCTGTTGTCTTAACTACTAGATCAAACTGGCTTTCTCAAATAGCATTGAGAATGACAGTTTATAATTTCTGCAAGTGCCGTATTAACTTAAAGCAAGAGCTGGGGATTTTTCACTGAAATTGCAACTCCTTGGTCGATGTATCTAAATGAAATTTTACACATACTTTGTATTCATAAATGCTATTTGAAAAAAAAAAATTAAAACGCAAATTGAAGAAAAAAGGGTAGAGGAGAAATCATCATCATTCTCATTTACTAACAGTAGAAAGAGGATACGAACATATTGATTTCAGTTGTACACTTTCTAATCACTATAGAAGTTCTTGATCAATGGTCATTTGTTCAAAAGTTGGAATGGTGATAATGCTGGGATTACAAAATATAGTCCAAAATGACATAATGTGTGTATACACTAGAAGCATGAGAATCCTGCTGAACATAAATAGCCTTTTATGCCAGAGGCCTCCAAGGAGAATTTTATCATGGCCACTCCCCGATGGTTTTTCTAAACATCTTGTCTTCCGAAGCTCTATTTACTTATTATGCCTAATAACCACTGATAGACCCATTGTTTGTGAAAGTGAGTAAGCCAGTTCCATCTTTATAACATTGTGCAATGAACATATGAAGCAAACCCTGTTCTTACCTTCTAGTTCCTCTTCAACAGTATCCCCTTTGTCCACCGAGGCACAGCAGCTGGAGCAGGAACATGAACACTTGGATCCTAGGCTACAGGAGGTCTGGAAGAAAACAATGATATCTTCATTCTTTTCTGTATGTTCACATTACATAATACATATAGTTACACAGCGCGAACATTTCCAGGTAAGCGAAGAACAGCTTTTTCCTCAATCTTAGGGAAAATGTATCTGCGTGGGAAAAAGAGTACAGAGAGTCCTTAACTTAGAACCTTTCCCTTAGTGATCTTGCCAAGTTACAACAGCACTGAAAAAAAGTGACTTACAGCTGATCCTCATATTTACAACTGTTGCAGCATCCCTCTAATCACGTGATCAAGATTCAGGCACTTGGTGACCACATATATGGTTTACCACAGCTGCAGCATCCCAACTTGGCTTCCATCAACCCAAATCAGTGGGAGAAGCCAGATTCAATTAATGACTGCATGGTTTACTTAACAATGACAATGATTCGCTGACCAGACATAGCAAAAAAGTTGTAAAATCAGGCGTGGCTCACTTAACAACTGCTTTGCTTAGCAGCAGATTCAGGCCCCAATTGTGATCGTAAGTCAAAGACTACCTGTAGTTGATTTCTACAGAACTCCTACATATTGGCAATGGGGTATTTTATTTAAAGTTACACTGTGGAACATACAACCTTCATAAAGGAATAGGCTATCCTTCAAAACAATAATGACACAAATGAAACCAGTGTTTTCCAGAAAGGAGTTAAAAACTTACACACTGGGTAATTTAAAAGGCACTCTGATCTTGAACTGTTATCCTACAAATTCCTGGTGAACAGACATTTCTTCAATTATGACTTACCCAAAAGAAAATGGAGCTGTTCCCTTTGGAATGTTTCATTATTGGTATGTGGTCATGGCAAGACTCTCCTTCTGCCTATCACACTATCCTTCTCAGCTGCTTTTAGTTTAGATTAGGTGTTATTGGCTGAGATGTTGTCTAAGTATTCAGGGCTAAGCTTTTTATGATATATAGCCTAATGCAGGAGTGTCCAACCTTGGCCACTTTAAGACTTGTGGACTTCAATCCTCAGAATTCCCCAGCCCAATTCTGAGAGTTGAAGTCCACAATTCTTAAAATTGCCAAGCTTGGACACCCCTGGTGGGTTTAGTAGCAGAGAGGCAAACAGTGCAGGACTAATATTGGCGGTTTCTCCCTTGAGATCAGCTCTAAGAAAATAGAAGGAAGAATATTTTATATCCTTTTGCTCAAAGCCTAGAAATATAGAACATGGTCCAATCAGGAACATAAAGCCTAGATATAGAACCATGCTGTCTTCCATATGTGGAAGTTTTTTAAAATTTCAAATTCCCTGATTAAAGCAATAAAGTCAAATCTCTAGATTAAAAGGAGTGGATTAGGGGGGGGGAAAATGCAAGGAAAAGCAAGGGAAGGTTACTGCAACACAATGAGAATTCAAAACAATCAATACAACCATGCTAATCTAACGAAACTAGATATTTATTACATCCTTGAATAAGTTACTGAGTTTTCAAGGCACCCAGGCTGTTCACAAGAGGTTTTCCTCCCTCTCACTTCCCTTTCCCCCCCCTCAATTTAGGAGTATGAAGCATAATTAAAAGCCATCTTTTTGAGGGAATAGACTGCCATTTTGCTATTAAAGTACTCTGCTCTGAACTCATGAGCCTACCTAGTAAATCAGAATTTGCTAGTTTCTATAAACCATCTTCCTACATAGTAACTCCTGATGGAATGATAATGGTCCAATCGAGATTCCACTAGTTATGCCACTCTAGTCATAGGATTAAAGGGAAACAACTTTTTTGGAAAACAAAAGCTGCATTCTGTTAATTCAACTTCCCCCGATGCTTTAGGGGGCACTATTGCGCCATAACAAAAACAACAGTAGGTACTTATCATAAGGCAATCAAAATGAAATTGAATATGAAGCTATGGAAGTGCCTGGAGGAATGCCTTTGGCGTGGTAATGATGGTGATATGGGTACCAGTTATGCCTTTCTGGAAGGAGCTTCTTAAGTGGAACCCCACAACATAGCCATCCACCTCATTTCTGTGGGTGGGAGCTCTTGAACCTCGAACTGGGCCTGGAAACATACTTGCATCATACGATTAGATATTCCCAGTCCGTACATCTGTAGCAAAATTTTGGAGTGATTCAAGTTTTTGAACCACATTCAAAGATAAACAGATACAAGGTACTGCAGTGATCAAAAGACATTTAGTTTTTAATGATGCTGCAATTATACAGGTAATTAATATTTGTCCTTCCAATCTACTAGTTCTGTTACCCATCCTCTCCTACTTTTATGTGACTTATCTACCTATTTTGATTCTCTTCTTTTCTTTTTCAATTTAAGTATATTCCTTCCTGAGCTCTACAGCTGCAATGTAACTCTTCAGCTACCACTCCCTAACCAACCACTATCAACCAAGATTCCCACATGAATGCCTTATTTATAAATAATATAAAAAATAATAAAGGTTGGATACAAATAAATAAACGTTCTATGGCTCTTTCTTTCTTTTGCTTCCCATTCATTTTTGCCACGGAAATAGCACAGAATATAGCATAATTGATATTTAAGGGCCAGCCAAGCTGTTATTTAGTAGTGCCACTTGATTTTTCCCCTGAATAGAATGTATGTAATTATGGAGTAACTCACAATATATGAATTCACTCTGGTGGCAAATGCAAATTTTCAGACTATTTGTGCAAAAACGGTGCCAACAACTTACTACATCCTTTTGACCATTTTCAACACTTTTCATCTTGCGAACCAAGGTGAGATAAAAGCCTGATCCAAAGGAGTTCTTTAAGAAAACAGGTGATCCGGAGCAGTGCAACTTTCCTCGGGAAACAATGGCAATGCGATCTCCAAGGATATCTGCCTCGTCCATGTGATGGGTAGACAGTATGATAGTTCTTCCTGAGAGGAAGCAACAGATTTGTCAAACATTCATTCGGGCATGCAGGATGTCTACCTGGTACAGTCTACCTTGATACAGAGGATTGTGCAGATGTGCACACAGAAACCCTTTGTCCCTGACTACTTCATGCTATTTCAAACGCTGATCATCTGCCACAGAGGGTGGGGTAGAGAGAATAGTGCACAATGTTCACATCTCCTGAATTTTCAAATATCTACATTAGAAGTAGGCAATCTTTTTATGCCAGAAGGCACCATGGGGAATGTTGAGAACATATTGTTGGCAATATATGTGGTCCTTAACTTAGGACTGTAATTGAGCCTGGAATTACAGTGGTAAGTGGTCACATGATTTCACCCAGTTTTACAACCATTATATATATATATAATGTTCTACAATTAAATTAACTAACAAGCCAATTCACTTAAATAAAGAAACCATTAATACAGCATAAGCATTATCTCTCACTTGTTTTCACCTCAATTCTTGAAATATATTACCTCACAAAACTTTATTCAAAAGGTACCCTTATGTGAGGAAACATGCATAGTGCAAATGGTATAATTAGCTAAGCAATAAATGTCCAGTTCAAGAAAAATGGACAGATGCTATAAAAACTAAAAAAAATCACAGGGATAATAGCTTCATTAAATTAACCTGAAGTTTTATAATAGTTTTATAATTAAAGTTTTGTAATAGTTACAAGCTCTTGTAATTGACATAATGCAACTAATGAAACTAGTATTTTTGGGGCATTTTTGAGCTCAATATGTCTATTACTTTACATAATAATCCAGCATCACTTATATTCAATGAAATATGTTTATCCATTAATTTTATTCATCCAAATAATAGTTTCCCCCATGGTTGAGTAACCAGTTAATAATGAGGAAGGGGTCGAGTGCACCTGTCAAAACACTGCCCAGATATAATTAGTTATGTCTTAACAGCCTTAGGTTTTAGACTACAAAGGCTTGTCAACCAATAAAGCAAGACAAAATATGTAAAGTTGCATGTTAGAGACAGGTGTTATTTCCCACCTTCCCCCTTTGGCGGAGAATGTGTGTCATCTTGTCATTTTTAATCACAATAAACAAACTAATGGCTCCCAGAAAGTACTCAATGCATTTGGAAATGGATTGGGGGGTGGGGGCACCGACACACCACCATAAAGTCCATGAACTTCATGATTGCTACTGTTTCATTTTAATGGGAAATCTATTTTCAGAAGGTAAATATAATTATTGGTACATAGACAAAAAGAGAGAGTTAGTTTGGTGTCCCTCAGACCAACCTACCTCAGGTTGTTGTTGTGTGGAAAATACAAGGAGAAAGTGTGTTGGATAAGTTTGCTGATTTTAGTTATTTGTAAAAATAATAAAGATGGGAGAAAGAAAGAAAGAAAGAGAGAGAGAGAGAGAGGGAGGGAGGGAGGGAGGGAGGGAGGGAGGAAGGAAGGAAGGAAGGAAGGAAGGAAGGAAGGAAGGAAGGAAGG